TACATCGGCTTTGGCTAAACAGCATTATGATTTCTTTTCCCCAAATTTATATAACAAAATAAACAAAGTTCTTAATATAATATATCCCCGAACCTTACATGTATGCAAAAATATAATTACAGATTGGTTGTTAGACTTGACATATGAGGAAACCGAGAACTTACTAAAATAGGTACATTTTATATGGCTGACACACACACACCACACACACACACCACACACACTCACCACACATACTCATACACACACACACACACACACACGGACATACCGTCAATCTACTTATACTATACATCATATCATAACTATTATCTTAAATTAATTTAACTTTTAAATCTTATATTGGAACATAATGTATATTTTATCTGGAGGTGGGCGTTAATGACTACGACACAGTTTTAACTAATGTAGTCATTATCGAACATAATTTTGTAAATTGTAATCTTTAAAACGTGTCCAATAAAGATAATCTTTTAATCTTTAATAACATACATTAACATACATATATGATTTTTGTTTTTTTTTTTTCTTATATAGCACGCTATTAGAATATGCTTAAAATTTAAATAAAAAATAAGATAAAAATAATCAAAATTAGAAAAACCATTTAGTAGGAGAATAATTACGAAAACGCGCACACCGGATAATTATATAGGTTATATTCTGTACCTATATTTAATACTAAATTAATAAAATATAAATGTTTGGATTTCACGCATATATATATATCATATAATATAATTTGTCTATATTTATAACAAATTCTATTTTAACTTTATGATACTTAAAATATCTGCAGCGCTACGAGAGTGTAAATGCAACAGTAATTTCATTAAAACAAGCTGAATTAATCGGCGCGTGGCGAATCGTCCGGTTGGCGAGAAAATTGATATGGGTACTATGGTAATTGCATGGTTATGAACAAGTTTTATTGTAGTTTAAAACATTCGGATTTGGATAAAATCAAATGAAATGAGTTTTGTATGATAATGACTCATCACTCCATGAATAAAACAGTTTCATTTGCAAACATAAATCGGTTTTTAATAAAATAATTGTAATAGAACAGATGTGAGCTTAATAGTTATGTAACAGTGGACTAGTAAAGTGCCTTGGGTTCTTTAAAGTCCATACTACACCTCTGTCCCTTTGCAAAGTTATTGCAAAAAAATAAATTTTACTTTATATTTCTAACTATATAATAAACAAATATGTAAACATATCTTATACGTAAACAGAATTGTTATTAGTTTTAATATTTAGGTTTATGTTTTATTATTCTATTGCAACAACTGTTGGGAATTCATATAAAATAACCCTGGCTATACTTATTTACCTGTTTAGTCCACAACTTTGAAGTGGAATTCGCAACACGCCCTCATTACGTCGACATACTTGCCGTCCCCGTGGAATTTTCAATACTTCTTGGCCTTACCTTTAGCAAGAAAATACTAAAAAATACCTAAGAAGAAACAACGTCCACGTAATGTTTTTACTGTAAATAGTTGTTTAGGTCTGACGTTTTATTTTTTTAAGGCCGTCCAGCTTTCCTTTGCTATCATCTTTAATTCAAAGTATTTTAAATTCTTCAAAACTGCTTATTGATCTAGTTGCTCCAGAGCTGTTGGATTCGAGTGAACGTTAGCCCGCCAGCCGACAATATTTTAAGATATGAATATCTAATAGGTAAATATGTGTTTTACGTACTTATTGAAATATATTAGATTTGCTTTGCATCGGCTGGGCACCGACTTCGAAAGTATCTGATTAGGTATCTATTCTAAATGAAAACCCCCGTTTAGTTATTTTTTACGTTTTAGTGTCTGGAGGTCGGTTTTTTTAAGTTTTTATTTTATTTATGTTTTTTTATTATTGTATTGATGTACATATACGTAGATACAGATAACGCTAGTGAATGTTAATTTTTTATATTGTACATATTTACTAATATTATATAGGTTATTTCTTTTGTATATGATTTTTTTTCTTGATGATACTTGATCTATCAAAGTCGGTGTGCTTTGCTTTGTATCGGCTGGCACAGACTTTGAAGATATCTAATTAGGTATCTATCCTAAATGAAAACGCCCGTTTATTAGGATATCTCCTATCCAACAAAAAAACAATCAACTAAATCGGTTTATAAACGACGAAGTTATCCGCGAACACACAATATATATATATATATATATATATATATATATATATATATATATATATATATATATATATATATATATATATATATATATATATACTAAGCAGAACCCGCGGCATCGCTCGTGCTAAAACTGCAAAAAAAACTCTAAAATAGTAGGTTTCATACAAAATTTCATCCCCTCTTTTACCCCCTTATGGAATGAATTTCGAAAAATGCTTAAACATGTATTTAATCAATTGTATTGAAAAGCATTCATACCAAGTTTCAAGTAATTCTGATCATAAATATTTTTTGGATTGTATTATAACGTGTTTTCTCGTAATAAAGAGATAATCTCCCGCGGTAGCCTATGTCACTCACCAGCCCTCCAACTATCTCCACAAAAAATCACGCCAATCTGCCAAGCCGTTTCGACGTAAAAGAAAGACAAACAAACAAACAAACAAACACACTTTCACATTTATAATATTAGTATGGATATACGGTCAAATTGAGAACCTCCTCCGTCCCGAAGTCGGTTGATGATAAGGACATATTTTAATGATGAATACATACATGTAAAATTTGATTTAAAAAATATTTTACTAAGAGTTCTTATTGAACACACTAAATACTAGAAAAGATAAAAACTTTATCTCCTTTAGATTCTACGAACCCAAGATCGTAAATGCCACGTCTCAAATGATCACTAATAGCGTTCCTCTAACAATTATCTTCTAATCTACTCTTACTAAGCTTATATTCAGCTCTATAAATGGATTATTTAAAGACCCAGTTTATTCTTTATTTTTAAAATAAAAATTGAAAATAACTCAAATTCTATCGGGATGAAAAACAAGTCTTGAGATTTTTTGCCTTGGTCATGACAAAAATATATTCTATTTTTATTACACTAATACTATTTCTTACATTTTCGTAAATCGTACACATGAAGAAGTCTCGTATTTTACCACTTCTTAGTGAACTATGGAACAATAGTTCGATATAACCAAACTACATATATAAAAAAACGGCAACATATATTTCGATTTTTATTTCATATCTGAAAATCTTTCAGAAAAAGAAACACAAATTTATCCCACGGATAATTCCAGACTATAATCTGTCTCTGTGCCAAATTTCGTCCAGATCCGTTCAGTCGTTACGGCGAGATTGACTAACACACATCCATCCAAACAAGTAAACTTTTACATTTATAATACATGCATATTAGTTTTTTGATGATAGAAAAGGACACTGCAACTGATTGTCGTCTAAAAATATCGATTTGAAACCAAAAAAAGTCTGTTTGACACAAAACAACAAGGCCGTTTCCATTGACCCGCGGATTTAAGACAAATAGTATAGTAGCGCGTTCAGTAGATCAACAAACAAATACTTAGGTTTTACATATTAGTATACTCTTACATTGCAGTTTTTGTATTTTTCTCAGAATTGAGACATTTTCCCACGGTAAAAAGTATCCTTTATGTTGACCCGGATAACCAGCTATCATCATGCCTAATTTCATCAAAATCTGTCCAGTGGTTTTCTCGTGATGCGGTAACAGACAGACAGACAAAAATTCTAAAAACTATATATTCGGACTCTGTATCGATAATAATGTCTATTTCAATTAGATTTTCCAAAAAATATTTAATGTACAGATTCGACTTAGTTACAATTTTATTATATGTATAGATAAATGCCATTAATGTCATCACCAGATCGTATTAGATCGCGTCGTCGCTATAAAAAATGACATCCGACTGACTCGATATTGATCGTAACATTTGTGATAATGTAGAAAACCATTCAAAAAACCTATAATTTGTTCTAAAATAATTATATTCTTATCTATGTGCATTAAAAGAAGAGCAAGTAAATTACACAAGGTTTACTTTATGATTAAATAATTTTGAGCTTAAATGTGATTAAATGGCTAAACTTACATACTACTATTTAAATATCACTTTCAAAGGTATTATCATTCGTTATCTCATTTCATAGATAAATAATTCTGTGTCTTAGCTTTACTAAAAGGGGTGTTTGAACTCTATATTTTCTCCTTACATACAGATTTCAAATCTTAAGTTATATTTCAATGTTTGAAAGAGCAGCAAAAGAGTATAACTGGAATAAACTTACTCTTACCTAATCGACGTACCTGACTTTATGTATACTCGCATTATTACCTTATCGTCCAATACACAGTCTTAAACGCTTGATTAATGTGGCTCGCCTACAGAACAAATTGGTGACTTGCAATATTGTTTGTAACACAATCTTGCCAGTTTAGGGACCAACTATCAATTATAAAGCTAATCTATCATATGATAATTTTGTCTTAAAAGGTTTTGATAGATATTCTCGTATGTATGTATGATATATAGTGAAATATAATATAGGTATGAAGCTAACAGCCTTTTGAGATGTATGCACATGATGTACATACATGTGTGTACACGTCCTACCTTCGTTGTGGAGAAAATGTATAAGACGAGCAGTAGATTTCTGAATTTCGATACTGATTTTTGGTAAGACAATACGTGAAGTTTACACTTGTCACTCATTCATTGTAAAACAATATTTTGGTACCGCTCTGCGTCAGCTAAAATTATGAAGCTATAGATTTTAATTAACACTGTACTCAATATTTATCTTATTTACATATCATACTTATAAATTATTCATAAAACTTCCTAAATATTTACTTTGAACAGAGATGCTGGGAAGCTTCATTTATATTCATGCAAGTCATCTTGAATTTGATTCTTGTAAAATGCCATGTTTAGCCAATAAACCTCTCAGCGTCCAAATAGCGTATGTCATGTTAGGCACGTACTAGATAGCCGGATAAATGCCTCTTGCTCGGGCCATACATTTGTCGCATATATTCTCGGGCAGCTTACGCATTCCTGATAATTCTCTTCGGATAACCCAGATGTCAGTTCATACAGTATGTAGATGTGCTTCGTGACAAGTGATGAGTGCGTAGTGACAGTGGACAGATTATTTTCCCTCTCATTAGCGAAGATATCGTCTACAAAAATCATACACACGAATTGAGTAAAAAATGGAGTAGAACCTTCTTAAAGTTAATCAAAAAATAGTTTTCATGCTGAGCGAGCAAATTGGTTGATTAGAAATATATCCCATATGTCTTAGTAGTAGAGTAGTTTTCGTAAACAAATATAATCGGGAACAAAGATTCATCAGCCACAAGTGGAACGGAAGAACAGAAGGAAGTTGTGCTTTATCTATACATATAATAAAGTTGTAACTAAGCCAAATCTGTACATTAAATATTTCTGGAAAACCTTATTGAAATAAACATTATTATCGATACAGAGGCCGAATCTATAGTTTTTAGAATTTTTGTCTGTCTGTCTATCTGTTAGTTAACACATCACAGGAAAATCACTGGAGGGATTTTGATGAAATTTGGTACAGTGATAGCTAGTTATCCGGTTCAACATATAGGATGCTTTTTACTGCGGGAAAATACCTAATTTCTGAGAAAAATATGTATAACCTAAGAATTTGGTTTTTGGTTATCTGAACGCGGGCGGAGCCGCGGGCAATGCTAGTAATTTATAAGGATATACATATTCATGATGACGACAAATAATAGAGAGGAGTGGAGGCGAATAGTCGAGCGTGTTACAAGATCTATATTATGACCACGACCAGTCTGTCAAAACTGTAACGACTAAGAAGAAGAAGAATACATAAACTTACCTACATTTTTAATAATCATTCATACTGCTATGATTTAACTAAACAAAATTCCTTAATGAAACTATTTTTTCGGATTTTGTCGCGTTTTTGTATTATATTTTTGTTCCCGAAATTTCGAATGCATTACCGCAAATGTAGTTACGAACGGATACGGAGAGAGTGGACTGCACATGGACGGGGAAAACGTCGAGAACAAAAATATAAAGTAAAACCGCGACAGAATCCAAAAAAATAGATACATTTACAATGTGTTATATTCGTATCAATCTATGAAAGTATTAAGAATATTATTAGTAATTAGTGACTCACCCTCGCTCCGCTCAGGTTCGTCCTAGTAACACTTTAACGTTTAGTATAGATTTGTCCTTATAAACTTATTATATAATATGTGTCTTTATGAACTAAAATATACTCGTAGTTGTTCGTTTCTTGGCCGTGCGTGGCGCTTGTGTTCTCTCTCTTACATGTCATCGGTAAAGAAGTTATGTTATGTTCCGTAAGTGAAATAAAAATTATCAAGTATAATCAGAAGTCTTACTCAATTCTATCAGAATATAGTTATAATTCAATAATTATTTAATAAACAGTTACTAGTTTGGCAGTTGCTAGTTTGGCATTTCTCACGCCTAGTTAGGTTTTCGTTTACATCAAGTACCTATATTATGGAAAAGAAACTTGGACGCAAGATAAACATCGTATCATACTCAACGAACCCCTCGACACTTTCGGCAGAGACATGACTAGATACACGTATAAAATGTCCAAAGTATGATTGTAATATTAGAGTATATTATTTCTTGGACGGGCTCGTCTCAGGGGATGAAACCCAGGCCGACTGCCTCCGTCATGCCGTTACTTGAATATTCTATTTAGTGACTAAATGGTTTTCGGTATAATGCTGGCTATGCTTTTAGTTAATATTAATACTGTATTATTGTAAAGTCTTGACAAATTTTATTATCTTTATGAATAAGTCGTGTAATACACAACTATCCGTATTATTAATTATAAATATTATAAATGTGAAAGTTTATGAGTATGTATAGATGTTTGTTACTCTTTCGCGCCAAAACGGCTGAACGGATTTGGATGACATTTGACACAGAGATAGATTATAGTCTGGAATAACACATAGGCCTTTTATTCCGGAAAAATATACGGTTCCCGTGGGCTAGTTTTGTTTTTGTTTTCCTAGAGGTGAAATCGAGCGAAGCGTGAGTGAGCCGCTAGTTGTCTATAGAATAACCATATATATAATTTTTATTTGTCTATAAACGACTGACTATAATCATCTGCAAAACCTCGTTACTAAAATTAATTTTACTATTTCAATAAAATGTTGCAAGCAATTCTGATTTGTCAGTAAAACATTTCTTCCTCAAACTTTAAGCCAAATTAATTTAATTGTGCCAGATATTGATGATACAGTTCCAATTTATCAGATGATTCCGACCGCAGATAAATTACGAGTGGCCTGCTATCTGTACCACTAATGCGAAATACCTAATTGAAGCACTAAAGCGATCCAGAAGAACATTAGCACGCCCTAGTGCTCGTCCTGCCGATGTTATTATTACTTTCTAACTTAAAAGTCATAAAAACTCACAATTATAAATATATGTTGTTTGGACATTAACACACAGCACCATCTAGTTCCATTGTAAGCTACGAGGCTTGTGTTATGGATACCAGATAGTTGATACACTACACATATATACATATTATAAATATAAACACCCATGACTGGAGTACAAACATTCGTGCTCATCACACAAATGAATGCCCCCAGCGGGGCTCGAACCCGCGACCGCTGGCACAGCAAGTAGAGTCACTACAAACTGAGCCAAACATGTCGTTAAAATTACTTTCAAAATAACTATTTCACCCTTATTATGGATTGTTACTTGAAATTCATATGAGCCCACTCTCGCAGCAGAGCTATTAATTAAAAAAAAATCATTAAAATCCATTCAAATCGGGTGAGGATGTCGCAATACATACACTCAAAAATGTATGTTTTTTCTTATTTTTGCTACGCGAATTTAAAATTAAGAATCTCTTTGTTTTCTGAAGACCTTTTATTAAATAGTGTTTAACTTCTTAGAGATGAAATTATGTGTTAGATTATAATATCCATAACACAGGTCTCGTAGCTTCCTATGGAACAAGATGGTGTTGTGTGTTAATGTAAAAAAAAAAACAGGTTTGCCATAACAATTTGTCAAGCCTTCCCTCTATATCTTTTTAAAATTTAAAAAACAGAATATGTTGGTTTCACTGTAATAATGTCTTTTTTTCCTCCCACAGGGCATATTCCGGCTAGCCTGCGAACATGTGATCCGGACGATGCGTCGCGGTCGTGAAACACTGCTGACGCTGTTAGAGGCGTTCGTGTACGACCCCCTGGTGGAGTGGGGTGGTGGGCGACGGCGTCGGGGAGCTCGCCATGTACGTGCGGCGCGGGCGATGCTCGCAGTCAGGGTGCGGGAACTAAAACACACTGCGACTGAAGTCACGTGAGTAAACTTAGTATGGTTTTTGTAATTTAGTAAACTTTTAGAATCACACTATATATATATATATATACACACACACACACACACACACACATATATATATATATATATATATATGTGTGTGTGTGTATATATGTATGTGTACACACACATATATATATATATATATATATATATATATGTGTGTGTGTGTGTGTGTGTGTGTATATGTATTATAGTTTTAGCATTTTATGTGCATACTTAAGTGAAAAACGAGTCGTATCGGTAGAAAATATAATATCACAGTTAGAAATATTATATTATTATAGAAATTAGGTGGTTTATTTGGCGATTAAATATTAAAATTCAACAGAAACAATCGAAATTAGACTGAAACATACTGTAATTAAAAGTCGTCACGGGTAATGAGGGTACATATCATATTCTAACCAGAGGAAGAGAGTGCTGCGGCGGTAGCCTACTCTCTCAGTTCACTCTTCCAACTTATCATAATTTGCCTTTGATGCTATTTGATAGCGCTGAAATATTGTAAAATTTAGATATAGTATGTTCGTTTAGCCTCGTTTGATCACTCTCTTTGAGAATTCGTAATGGGCATTGAAAATATCTCTTTTAGTCGTTGATTTATGCACTAGCCTTTCGACTCTACACACAGGTGCGAAAAATATAAGTACTTTTTACGTGGAATTTGCTTCAAAATTATATAAATATCTTTAGTATATTTCCATCTCTTATAGATTCGTATGGATATGGCTTGAACATTCCCAATGCTCATATAAACCTCACACAGACCCTATTTGAATATTTAGTATATTCACACGGTACATTTCTTCTTACAATCGAGATATAGCGGGCCCAGGAAGTTTTGCGCTCCACTGAATGTTTGGATATTGCGTACATAATGTGACTACGACAAAACATGATCTCGTATACGTTCCCTAGGATTTAGAGGAGCAATAAATATATGCGATGTATCTTTACGATTACGTCACCACCCAACTGGATACGAGTGTGGAGATAATACACGAATGAACTCTACACAAATATTTATACCTCCTATTGTGACTAACTCAATTTTTCACGACTCGTAAACTTTTTTCATGCAAAATGTTGTTGCCAAATGTATTGTAACATTGTTGCCCGAATTTAAAAAAGACCGAGGTCCATGTTTTTGTAAGTTATTTTAAGATTGGTGTACCATTTTTTGTTAAAAAGTATTTTTTTTCTTCATCGTAAAAGATTTAAAATAATATTTCATAACAATTTAAAAATATATCCTTCATGTTCTATTAGAGATATTCTTGTAGAAATGTAATCTTAACCTTGATATATCAAGTTTATATTGAACTTGCACGCCACCATACGAAGACTTTTCTATTTTCGTCCCAAAGTAACCTTTAAATTATGTATAGGGACATTAGCGCACCGTGTACATTATACCTGTACATAATTTATATATTAATGTTCTGTCAGCGAAGTGAAAATTTTAATTAAAATTTCGCCATAGTGTGTTTCAATTAATAATTATTTTGTGGATAGCATCCGCCTTTAAATATACAGAAAAACATCAACAAACTCCAATGATTTCATCATTTACCTTGTTTCAGAGACCAAATTCTGGCAATACTTCCAGAAGTTATTCAACATGCAGATAAGTGGTTAGAAGAAAATGAAGAACTAAAAGCTGTGGAATCAAAGCTTCAAATGTGTCACCAACAAATGGCTCTTATTAAAGAAATCGAGGCTTTTGGTAACAACCTCAGTAACCATCCTCTTTATGCCATATCACAAAAATACACCTCATACAAACAAGCCAAGAACGCTGTCGAAGACTCTATGAAAGCTCTTGTAAAGATTCTTAACGATTTTGATACACAAATAGAAAACTTTGTAAATACTAATGAAGTGTTAAACGGACCTCAATTGATGGCGTGGGTCCAAGAATTTTCTGAGCCCAACGAAGACGATGAAAAACCAATTTTTGAACATATAAAAGAATTTTTAACGAACGCTGGTCAAAGCTCAATGATATCGCAGTGTGAGCAGGCAGAACAAGAATTGAACCAGTGTATGCAGCAAACTAATCTACTTATCAGATCTTGTCTAGAGCTTCTCACTCAATATGTAGCGGTGTCACAATACTACCCGCAAAGCCAAACAGAGTTCTATCGCATAAAGATGTTCCGCAAATATCTCGCTGCTGCATTGGAAAGTAAATCGCCTGAAGTATGCCGAGAAGTGTCTAACCAAGTAACAGCTCTAGTAAATTCTGATACAAACTGTGTGGACACTCAACAGATCTTGGCTTATAACTATCGGTTGCAACAAAGCAGCGTTGAGGCGAACGCATTTCTTAGTAAATGTCTAGATAGGCTACAGTTAGAGGGTGGACCCGATGCCATAGCTTTAGCCCAAAACGATTTCATGGAAGCAAAAACGAACATAAGCAATTGGGTGCGAACGGAAGAAGGCGCGGCTGCGTCCGTGGAAAGTGTCGTTATTGACATGTTATGTAGTTTGAATAGACGATACTTGATGCTGGAGAAAGGAGCTCAAAGCGCAGGAGATTGTCTCGTAGACCTAACTTCAAGAGACGGGGAATGGTTTTTGGATGATATGAGCTCTTTATCTACACAAGCGGTTGAACTACTGTCATTACTACCTTTACATTCTGCCTCAGACGAAGACGCCGCACTACCAGTCGCAGTAGAATGTGTTAGAAACGCAAACCTCTTGTTAGCAGACTTAGTGCAATTGAATTATAACTTCAGTACTATCATACTTCCCGAAGCGTTAAAGAAAGTTCATTCGGAGGATCCTTCAGCTCTATTGATGATAAATGAACTAAACTCCGTTATAATTAACTCTCCAGTCCCGTTAAATGATTTACTCGCCCAATTGGAGATGCATTTCAGATATTTAGTCATGGATATGGAGGTAAGCGATTAATTTTACATTAACTTAATTTTATCCTCTCTAAGCATATAGTAATATATGTATGTACATATGTAGGTATATCATAATAATTTAACTGCCTCGGTGGTGTAGTGGCTAGCATGTACGGCTGCGCACTCGGAGGTCCTGGGTTCGAGTCCCGGGTCGGGCCAAGTTTAGTTATTGAGTCTTTCTGTATAGTAAGTCTCAGTAACAGCTCGGAGTTGGGAAGTTGGCGGTGTGTCAGCCCCGTGCCTCGGAGAGCACGTAAAGCCGTCGGTCCTGCGCCTTAACTCTCACTGGTCGTGTCGAGCAGTCGTCCCACCGGAGTAAGAGAGTGACAGGAATAGAGAGTGCACTTGTGTCTGCGCGTACACTTGTGCACTATAATATCTCCTGCGCAGTTGGCTAGTCTCAATGAGATCCGCCGCCGTAGCCGGAATCGGCTAGGAGAACATCATATCATATTTTTTCAACAAATATACTAAAGACGTATATTTATGAAAGGGATCTTTCTTTCTAAATGCAATGAAACCTAATACTTTCTTGTTGAAAGCAATGAAACCTGTCACTCTCGTTCAGTAACTAAATAATTTTCTTTTAGTCTCCAGCCTCAAGTTCCCAAATATTGGCAGCTGAACTGCGCTCTCGCTACGAGCTGCTCCTCTCTTCTTCACCCGAGGGTGAGGGTCAGTCGGCAGGTCGGATGTTACTCATGGGCTTCAATGGGCTGTTTGCTGCTGTCGAGCTGAGAGCTCGAGAGCTAGCCGACCACCTCGCCGCGCCTATCCCGCAAGTGTGGAGGAAAATAGATCAAGTCAAGGATGCTATGCGTATGTCGGTAAGGAATGATTATAAAATTTAATATTTTGGCAATTTGTTGATATTAATATTGATATTGTTTTATTTTTAATAAACTATTATAAATGTGAAAGTGTGTGTGTGTGCGAAGCTATGTATGTGTGGGAATGGAGATAAATAATAATATCCTGGATTAAGAAATAGTTGTATAGAATTAACCTTCCTATGACGCAAGTGAAGCCGCGTACAAAAAATAATTTATTATTTAAAATATAAGTTAAACAGTAGCTATATTACATAGTAAGTAGGTGTTAAGTTAAAAAAATATTATATTTCCTTAAATTTCTTTTATTATATAGCTTTTAAATTAATACAAAGTCTTAGTTTCTAGAGATCAAATCTATCTTCATCACATAACACTAACAATTCCCCAGGCGGCCATGCAGAGCCCGGCGCTCCGGTCCGTGCTGGAGGACATATTCATAGTGCGGCGCATACAGACGGTGGCGGAGGTGTTCGCGCTGTGCGGGCAGCTGGCGCGCGCCTTCCGCGGCCTGCCGTCGCCGCAGGCGCCCGTCGTGGACGACGCCGCCATCTGCAAGCCTGTCAGACGGTCAGTTGTGTGTGTTCAACTATCGTCCCATTGGACCACTGGAGAGTGTAAAAAATACTACCGTCATAAGAAATAAAACCGTAACTAACAATTAGGTCAAGAATGACTTATGTGCAGATTCAAAATCAACAAAAAAAATGCTACTTGATAGTCTTACTCATAAACCTCTAAGTCTTATGAATCCGGAGATACCATAAGTATTTTAATTGTAACTACGTCAAAACTAGTTGTAATTTTGACGTAGTAGTAAGATAATATTTTATACTAGCGGCTCACCCTCGCGTCGCTCGGGTTCGCCTCTAGATAAACGCTAATAGAGATCTATTAGTGTTTCCCGTGGGAACCCACGGAAACCGTTCATTTTTCCGGGATGAAAAGTAACCTGTTGTTTTACCGGCAACATAAGGGTATCAGAATGTTAAATTTTACTAAATTAGGTGCATAAGTTGTATAAGTTATTATAGTTTTTTATCCCACGGGAACTATTTAATTTTCCGGGATAAAAAGTATCTAAGATGTTGCCCGGGGATATAAGGTACCACCATACAAAATTTCATTTAAATCGGTCTAATTGATCGGAGATTAGGCCGTACAAACAGACAAACAGACAGAGAAACAAAAAAAATGAAAAAAATCTGGATTTGTTCTATTTGTCTTCTTACATCCCCCTGACTCGGTTTTTAGCATTTTTTTGCTATTTACAGACATTCGACCTCTACTGTTTTATTATAGTATAGATATCTCGAAATCAACTTTGACGAAGTTACGGTCTTCTTTCTTATGACGGCAGAATAGAGTGCCCGTTGTGTCTGCGCGCACTCGCGCGGCACTGCAGTATCTCCTGTACAATTGGCTAGTCTCAGTGAGACTGAGCGTTGTGGCCGAAATAGGTTAAGATTTTTGTCGGAGTTTAAAAAGACTAAGAACCCTATTCGTATATGTTTTTGGCGCTCAGTACACGATATCTTTTTTTTATTTAAATGTTTTTTTTTATTGAAGCTTAGAGTTGTTGTTTTTTTTTGGAAAAAAAAATAAGTTATTTATTTTAAAAATAACTCTGAGTTCAAACGGTTTAAATATTTTATATGTATTTTATAATTACTTCCCAAAGAAAATATAATAAAAGTTTTCTAAGAAACTTTATCGTATTTTCCAACATTGTACTCTTTTCTGCAAACCTGTTTTGTGGTCGCGTGATAAATGAAATAATACTATCAGTTGGACTATAAATAATAGTGTGAGTTTTTTGAATTTTCTATTTCAAATATTCATTAATTTTAAAAGAGAGTTATTTTGGATGGTAAATTTCAAGTTTAATTAAAGTCCGCATGTAACAAAATCTATAAAAGTAAAGTATATAGTATACTTTACTTTTACTTTTACAGTATATACTTCATTACATATTCGTAATAGAAGAAATTTTCACTCAGCCTTCAATTTGCTTGTATAAAATTTATGTAATTATGATGGTCGTGAGTTTGAATCTTGCTCTTAAAAATATTGATATTGGTCGTATTTTTCTTGGCTCATCATTACGTATTTTTGTGATTATTATATATAGATATGAAAATTAATAAGACCATACGTTCTTACACTTAAAAACTATCTTGTCGGACATTGCCGCAGTTTTATATCGATTTTTATTAAATTTTCTTAGCCATCGTCTTTTAGAAAAGATTTAAATTAAAAGACAATATAATCTAATTTCAGATTCACAGCCGAATACGTGTCACGCTGCGTGCTGGGCGTGCACTCCAAGGCGCTGGCGTCGGTGCTGTGCCTGCTGCTGCGCCGCGCCGGCCTCGACCTGCGCGCTGAGGTCGAGCAGAAGGAGATCGGTAAGTATTTTCTTTAAACTGAATGGAATATACTAAACACTTACGGTATAGGTATATGGACTTTTTGGTTGAAATAAAGGTTGGTGTTTAGTCAATTTTCATTTGAAAATATGTATATTTCCATATACATACATATTTTTTTGAAAATTGTATGTATGTATGTGTTATTTATGACTCACTTTCTCTGCATGTTACGAGGATAAATGTAGCCAATGTTACTTACGCGAATTTTTTAACACCTATTGAAAGTCTCATTAAAATTGGTAAAGCCGTTACTTATTTTATCATAATATACAGATTTATGTCGATTTTTTTCATTGAGTTTACTAACATCACAGACTTTTGTCCTTGCCTTTATTGTTATTTATGAGTTTATTGTTTTATTGAATGTTTTTTTTTATTCTAAATTTTTTTGTTATAATCTTGCGTTCTAAATTGAGAATTAAGCAGTATAATTGCCTATTTTACGCGCGGTATTACGGAGTTAAGTAAAATCATTAACAGTGGTTTGGACTTTGATATCGTTGATATAATAATTATACAATTTTTGTATGAGTTTTTTTAACTTTCAATATCATTATAATACAATTATCATGTCGAGAAATATAAAGGGTAAATTAAAATTCCTTCCACAGTCTCAACTAACGTTATCATAAACCTAAAGACCTCATGATTTCCAAACACGCCTTAGCCTTGAAGTGCAGAGCTATCTCACTCGTAATAAATCGCATGTAGATGCAGATTTTCCGATCGATTATGCTAATCTGGATGCGACAGCATCGCAACGGAAGCGGTTTGACTATTTTCGTATATATATTCGTGGCAATTGGATATTAAAGTGGTCCTTTCTTGTATCTCGTAAATTGTGTACCTATATCATATCTCATTGGCATGATATTGGTATACCGTAGGAAAATAAAGAGGACGAATTAGGTAATTTCTTATATTATGTATACAAATAAAATGTAACTTTAACATTAAATAAAAAATATTTTAATTTATTATCAATTTGTTGTATTGAAATGGGGATTTATAAATATTTTTATAAAAGTTGTGTGGCGGTGAGTACGGGTTGGCCCGTGTTTTTTATTTAATCATCTTTCGTGCTGTTCTTGAAGAAATTGTTTTGTTTTTTTTTTCGTTATAATTTGTTTCAATTCTTATTTCCTATTATCTGTTTGACGTTCGATCAAGGTGGTGGTCTTTTTTATTTGGTGATCACTGACTTTTACGCATTCTAATATATGTATATATGACCTTATATGGGGTCATAGAATATCTATATCTATCTTCTAATAGGTGTTTGCGTCGTCCGATGTATGAAGGTTTGATATCTCCCGGTGTTCGCAGGCGCGTCGTGGAGCGTGTCGCTGGAGTCGCTGTGCAAGAAGGTGTCGGCGGGCGGCGGGCGCGCGGCGGCGCTGGCGGCCGCGCTGCAGGCGGCCAGCGCGCGCGCGCTGCGGGCGGCGCGGGCCGCGCGCGCTGCCGACCGGGCGCGCGGCGCGGCGCGCGCGGCGCGGCTGCGCGTCGCGGCGCACGCGCGCCTGCACGCCGAGGTCCGTACGCTTTCCTTTTGGCTTTGTCGGTGTAAATATACAAATTCCATTCGAGTTATCGCGTGCTCGATGATTGGTGATAAACTGACTATTATACACTAATATATGATACATCATCCGTACATAAACCTTTTAACATCTAACTACTGGGGATGGACGTCTCTTCAGTATGAGTAATATTCATTCATTATATGTATAGCTAATAAATATTATAAAAATATTAAAGCTGTTTTCTAAATGACGCCGACAGACGCTGAATAACATAACGGAGGGTGCGGGCGGGACGAGCGGGCTGGCGCGGCGCGCGCGCGAGCTGGCGGCCGCGCAGGAGCGCCTGGACGCCGCTACGCAGCGCGCGCAGGCGCTCGTGGCCGCCGCGCACCAGAGGTGACCACATACTATACCCTGCACTCTCCCGACTACTAGTATAGATTCAGTGTTCATTTTTATTTAAACGTAGTCGTTACTGGCTCACTGGATATCTTAGTATCACGAGCAGGAGCAAAGGAAACGAATGTATTATTCTGAAACGATTATTATTAATTTTAACTGTAATTTCACATTATTTTTTTCTCAGTACATATGGGTTTTATGTTCTCATTGAACGATGTATTATTACGACGAGATGTGGGTATTGATCCTTTCGATCGCGTGCGACAGGATCCTGTGGGGCCTGGGCGCGAACCCGGCGCTGCGCGACGTGGCGCTGGCCTTCGAGGGCGGCTGGGCGGCGCGCTCGGGCCGCGCCGCGCGCCTGGCCGCGCTGTGCGCCGCTCTGGTGCCGCACGCGCGCGCCGCGCAGCCGCCCGCCGCGCGCGCGCGCCCTCCCCGCGCCGCGCGCACCGTGCGCACCGCGCTCGCGCACTGGGAGAAGGTACGACACACAAACACACACACCCCTCCCATGCGTTTATTACGTTATCTAATTTGTTTCAATTTGAACTCCTTCCTCCTCCCTTTGGTGAGATATGGTGACGTGTATGGGACGCGTGAATAAAGTTGAGGTAAAAATTAATTTCATTATCAATAATTGTAACTTAATAATAAAACCTTAACAGTGAGTTAATATTAAAGAATTCTTGAGAAGAATCTCCTTAACCTTATGTTAACAGGTAGAAATCGTCTTATGTAAAGAAAAAAGTTATGTTTTATTATTTATTAAGAGCATCCCATGTGACGTCATCGTAAGTACCAGGCGAACGTAAGTGTTAAGAAGGTCGTATGAACCCTTTGACGGCACTTTACATATATAATGAGTACTCCTTGAGGTCCGTGGTCCTCTAGTACTCGTGACACAAGTACCAGGCGAACATAACCATCGAGGAGTATATGTACGTTGTAAGAGATTCGTGTGCACTCTTACACTGAACTTAATATGTACGCAGTACGTTGCTCGATGTGTATGCTGCCCTGGTACTTAGGACAATGTGTATGAGCAAACGTATGAACCAAGAGCGGACAGCGAAAGGGCACTCACTTCATTCCTAACGGGTGTCCTACGACACTGACCGATTTTTTTATTTTACTTTCATTATTTATTTGAAGCTTAAAATAATATTTTATAATATATACTAGCATTGCCCGCAGCTCCGCCCGCGATCAGATGACCAAAAACCAAATTCTCAGGTTTTACATATCAGTATACTCTTACATTGCAGTTTTTGTATTTTTTCTCAGAAATGAGACGTTTTCCCGCGATTAAAAGTATCCTATAGGTTGACCCAGATGACCAGCTATCACTATACCAAATTTCATCAAAATCCCTCCAGTAGTTTTTCTGTGATGCGGTAACAGACAGACAGATAGACAAAAATTCTAAAAACTAGAGATTCGGCCTCTTTAGCGATAATAATGTTTATTTCAATAAGATTTTCAAAAAAATATTTAATGTACAGATTCGGCTTAGTTACAATTTTATTATATGTATAGACAATAAGTTTTATGTAACGTAAAATTGATGTAAAAATTAATTCAATAAACACACACTTCCAGGCGTGCACGCTCGCTCAGAAGTACTCACTGCAAGTGTCCCCGGTGGAGGAGTCTCTCATGGAGATGTTACACCCTGAAGGGAATATTGATGCACAATGGGTAATTCATATATATATATTTGTTATAATAAGAAATGTTTTTAATAGTAATCGATATATAATAATAGTAAATATATATTTCTATTTATTAGTGTTTCGTTGTATAAATACATTTTTTTTAATAAAATATAATTTAATTTATCTATAGGTCAATATTCAAATGATATTAATCCGATTAGTTATCATAAAAATGATTACAAAAAAAGTATTCTATATTTATATTTAAATTTATTAAGAAAAGTTGTGCAAGAGCTAGGCTTTTAGTTTACTAAGAAGTTTTCAACTTTGTTTTACAAATATCAATTCAATGCAATTTTCTTGTTAATGATTTCAAAGTGTGCAAGTTTAGTAGATTATTTTGTCACTGTCACTTACAATATACGAAGGAGATTGGTCGAAACTATAAATGTCATTCAGTTTAAATAAATAGTTTTATTTCATTCAAGTAATAGGTTAATTATTTAACGTCACGTTACAAACCTTAGGAGCTGATGATACATAAATATGTGCGCGAGTGCAGTTACAAGATTAAGGCAGTAATCAATAGTCTATCCATAGTATGTTTGTTTGTTTGTCCTTCTTTTATGTCAAAACAAAATGACGGATAAGCGTGATTTTGTGTGTAGGTAGTTGGGGAGCTGGAGAGTGTCATAGGTTACTATGTACGGCTGGAGATTATTTGATTCCCACGAGAAAACACGTTATAATACAACCCAAACAAAACGTACCTAGCGAACAAACGACCAGAGCGAAGTCAGGGGCAGGGGGTAGTAATGTATGTGTTTTTTTTTACTGAACGTCATGAGTCTACTACCGGTTCGGAAAGAAGAAGTCTCAGACCTGAGAAGAACTGGCGGAAGAAACTCGACGGGAGTAATATTATCTCTACTAACTCGTGCGTGTGTGTCGGCAGGTGGGCGCGGTGTCGGCGCTGGTGCGCGAGGCGGCGGCGGCGGCGGGCGCGGCGCGCGGCGCGGCGGGCGCGGCGGCGGCGGCGGCGGGCGCGGCGCTGCGGGCCGCCGCGCGGCGCCTGGCGCGCGCCGCCGCCGCGCGCCTCGCGCTGCTGCCCGACCTGCGCGCGCCGCTGCACACGCTCGCACACCTGCACGACGTGAGTTGTTTGTTCTATTGTGCCATTTGTAACGTCCCACTGCTGGGCGCGAGCCTCCCTTCGACACGAGAGGGATCAGCCCATAGTCCACATTAGAAGACTAGTAGTATGACTTAATAGGTGTATGTGTGTACATGTGTGTCCGTGTCGATCTACGATGTAAGTGATAATTATCATCGTACTTGTATTATAAAAGCGAAAGTTTGTATATGTGCGAGTGTCATCGACTATGTATTGACGTGACATAATTGGACTACTATTATAAATGCAAAAGTATTTATGTGTACGAGTTTGTGTGTACCAGGGCAACAATACAATGCAAGAGTTAATTACTGCGTATATAAGCCTTAATGACTATCCCACTTGAATTCACAAAAGCTAAGAAAATATTTATATTTTATTTAGTACGTTTTAATTAAATATAAATAATTATTAGCCAACGTTAGCCATATAATTTTTATTTTTTTTTTCGTTAATTTTTCTGATGTTTTAGTACTTATTATCCTATTCCGGATTAAGAGAAATCCAAAAAATCAAATATCATAAAAATTGGTCTAGCTTTTCTTGAGTTATAAATAGTGTAACTAACACGACTAACTTTGTTTTATATATATACATATATATAAATATATTTATATATTTATTTATATATATATATTTTAAATAAAATATTGATAAAATATTCCTGCGCAAAGAATTATTATTATATTAAATATATTGACCCTGCCACATTAACAAATACTTTTTCAACAACATCGATAGAACCTTACTCGCCAGTGGCGCCCACTACTGCCACCGGAAATATCATATTACTTAGAATCGATGCGGTAAATCTTCCTCTTCCACTCTCCCCTATTACTCGTCACCTCATCATTCACCCCGAGATCCCTTTATCTTTTATGTCCTATCTCACACAATCTATCTAGCTTTCCTTCGTTTTTCTACCTCTCCATCTATCTACATCCATTACCATCACTCCTCTCGTCTTATGAGTTTCACCCCATCTCTTCACATGTCCATACCAACCTAGACGATTTCCTTTCAAGTTCTCCATTACTTTCAAGCTTCCAACATTCTCATCTCTGCAGCATGCAATCTTCTCCCATTAACCTTCTTGATACACATCATTTTGATTCATACATGACAATAGGTCGTGTTACGGATTTATAAATCTTACCCTTCCTTACAGTCTCACTGCCACCGAAAACGATAACTCGTTGAATGAAATTAGATTAATATATAATCAGTAATGAATATGTCGCGTGTGTGTGTGTGTACCAGGGAGACAACGCGGCGCAGGAGTTCCTATCGGCGTGGGCGGCGGACACGGAGCGCCTGCAGGCCGCCAGCGCCGAGGCCGACAGCGAGCCGCGCGTGGCCGCCGCGCGCGCCGCCGCCGCCGCGCTGCTGGCCGCGCTGCCGGCCGCGCTGCGCATGCTGCTCGAGTTAGTACACATATACATACATACACACATACATACTGTTATTAGGAATAAAATACTTATAAGTTTGAAGTATGTACTTTAATGACTAAAGCTACAGTATAATTTTAACGACTCTAACTGGCCACGTCTGTACGGCTCAGTGTCTTTAAATGCACTCATAATAAATGTAGCGACGCATCTCTTCGAAAAACTGTCGCGCAAAGTAAGGAAAACAAAAAATATACGTAAAACCGTACGAATATATATACACACATATTGCATACATACCATACAAATCAAACTCCCGCAACGCGACTAGTTTTTTTTTGGGTTAATCTCAGAATGTATGTTATAATATTTGGCAAACTTAGCGAATGAGTTCGAAACGGAAAAAAACAATTAGAATATTTTTTTATTATTTGCTAAGAGTACTTCATGTGATGTCATTACAAGTACCAGGTGAACATAAATGTTGAGGAGTGCATAAAATAAGTAATTCGTATGCACTCTTAAGTGTTCAAGAGTGTATGTATTGTGTAAGAACTTCATGTGCACTCTGTGCAGGCTTTGCTTTGATGAGTTAAAACATATACGCAATACGTTCCTCGATGTCTATGCTACCCTGGTGCTCGTGACAATTTTTATAATCTAATTTATAAACCAAGGGCAGAACATGAAAAGGAATTTTGTTCCTATCGAGTGTTCCACGACACTTGTCGTTTTTTTTATTATTATTATTATATAATTTTTACTGATAGAAAGAAATTAATAAAGAAGGTTATAGGGTTTATGAAGACTAAAAGAGGAAAATGTGGGACTTATGACTTTCGTCTAATGGGTTTAAATTATATTCAGAGTAGAATTTGCATTCCATCTAAGATGTAACTAAGGCATTGTGAAAATTATACAATTAAATAAAATTGAAGTGTCTGTGTAATATCAAAATGAAAGCTTATACTATAAGTACAAATGGAGGTATTACAGGGTGGATATTTGAGATGGGACAGTAAGGGCAGGTAACTTAACGTGTTCCTGTAACTATAACAGTTACAGGAAATCATTCTTAGGAGGATTCCAAAATCTGTGAATGCAGTTCAGAATATCTCAAAACGTTATGGATAGAAAACTAGGAACGTTTTCCTGTAACTATAGCAGTTAAGGTATCTGCCTTTACTCTCCTGTCTCAAAAATCCATCTTGTATACGGTACTTATAAGAAAAAAATCTTTTTTTGATTTTTTTGTTTATTTAGCCGAAAGGCTAATCTTCGTAACAGCGGGATCGATTTTGACAGGACTGTCATTGACAGATAGCTGGTGTTATAAGGAGCAACTTTATTTTTATTTTGGGAAAAGAATTAGGGTTCGGGGAAAAAAAAATCTACGAAATTGTAAAAAAAACCATGTACGTTCTTAACGTATCTAAGTAAAGTCAGGATAAGTGGCTAATGTATATAACAATGCGTTGCCCGCAGGCTGCCGGGTGCCGACAGCACGCGCCGGCCGCCGCGCGCCGCGCCCGCGCGCGCCGCACGCCACGGTGAGTGTTGTGTGAACTTTACATCTGTTTGTATTATAATAATATGATTCACTCTTTAAGTATAGCCTATTCATAAAAAAACATGTGTACTTATGTGCACAGGTAAGAAGGTATACTTATTTGGCTTGACTGAACAAAAATAGCTAAAAATGTCATCCCGTATGTCACAACTCTCTGTTTGTAAACGGAACGCAGCTAACTTCATCATGTCGCTTTTTGGCTTTCGATGTGCGCGCGTATCGTAAAAGTTTTACTGTAATAATAATTTTCTAAAAGTGCTAAAAGAAATATAAGTTCAAAAATAATAATTTATGGAAATCGGTGTGTGTCCGTGCAGCGGGCGAGCAGCGCAGCGCGACGGGCGCCGGCGTGTGGAAGCGCGTGCGCCTCAAGCTGGAGGGCCGCGACGCGCGCGCCGCCGCGCCGCACGAACAGGTGACACTACACATCTGTGCACAGAGTATTACACTGCGCTAATATAAAGTGCATTCTGTATTCTTTTTGACTCCCGAAGTCCATTGAGACGATAACTCAACACTCATAATTAGATCAACATAAAATCGACGGCTCCATTTGCTCTAAAAAACATCGTTAATTTCCCAACTCCAGGTTTCTAAGAATTTACACTTCAAATAAATACACTTGACCCTACACAGAACGTAAATAAAGGACCTCCTAATTCACAACCGTACATATTAACCATTAAACGACTGAAGCAATTTCCTACAAAAACGAACATTTATATTAATTTATAAGATACTTTATGCTTAACTTTTAGTATAGAATTCTCAAAAAAGAGATATATTTCCGCAGTAAAAAATATCCTATATGTTGGCTCGGATAACCAGCTATCATCATAGCAAATGTCACCAAAATCTGTTTAGTGGTTCCCAGACAGACATACAGACAGACAAAAATTCTAAAAACTATACATTCGGCCTCTGTATCGATAATAATGACTATCTCAATAAGATTATCCAAAAACTATTTAATGTACAGATTCGACTTAGTTAGAATTTTATTATATAAATAGATGTTATTAACAATACTTAAATTCGCTTAGTATCTACTACGAGCTAATCAGCTAAATAGGCTAAGCCGAAACGTGGACACGTATTAAAAATCGTGTAATGTTTTTAAAAGTATATAATATTCAGAGCGTTAAAATGAAATGTTTGCAGGTGGATTACATAATATCGGAAGCGACTAGCGCAGAGAACCTGTGCCTGATGTACGAGGGTTGGATGGCGTGGGTGTGAGTCTGCGGCGCCGCCCCCCGCGCCCCCGCCCCCGCCCGCGCCCCGCGCCGCCGCCGGCCCGCGCCCCTCGGCCCGCGCCGTGCGAGAGCAGCGCACTGAGACGACGAGTTCACTACTATACGACTCGGCCTGCCATAGAGTAAGCTCTATGTTACGCACCAACCTTGTTTTATTTTGTTTCCTATTCAATTTCGATCGTTGGTTAAATACTCCTTTCTAAATTCTTTTTTTATATTGATTCTGTATTCGATCACTTTGAACCCACGTGTAGAGCGCCAGCGGCGCTGTTTTTGTTCTCACACGAGCCGGAGTAGGTCGTGTGTCGGTGTTAGAAGTCGAATAAAAAGATCATAATATACTGTCAGTAGATGTGGTGTCTATGTTCTATGAATGTTGTCAATATACATTAAACATACTTTCATTAAATCAATCGTATTATATAATAAAAAAATAAAAATAAAACACTTCAGATCTTAAAGTTAGCCAAAATCGTAATACTTCAAAGCAATTATTCAATAATAAAAAAATGAATAAAATAAAAAAAATAAAACGATCGGCATCGCGTAATCCATAGAAAAATTAAAAAGTTATAGTCACATAAGATCATTAGTAAATAGTCGGCAGGTCGATGTTAGTTTTAGACTTAATTAGTACGGCTTTATTGTATCGAACATCACCCACGTTATGTGGAAAAAAAAACAAAAAAAATGATAAAATGAAAAAAAAAATTTGACTTTGTATTTAAATACAATTACGAATAAGAGGTGTCGTGTCGCCTCCAGAGGTCGAGCGACACTCGATTATTCATATATACGTGTATACTTAATAATATTCTAGCGGGAGCTTGCTTTCCTTCTGTTCATTAAAATTTTAAAATAAATAATTTTTTGAGTGATTCCTGTCAAATATAAAAAATGAGTTCACTAACCATCAACTACCCTTTTTGTTTTTTTTTTTCAGTATATATTTTAATGAAACTTTTACTTTATATTTTTTTTTATATCCTGAGAATTTTTACTTTTTCTATAATAAATCTTGATAATTTCATGTTTTAAGATGAAATTTCTTTCATTATGAAATTATTTTTGTTCAACTTTCAAAAATTATCATTATTGTAGTAACATTGTTTAATCAAATTTATTCCAAATTATACTAGAAATACATAGCCAAAAATCTATATATAAAATTTAACCATTTTTGTTTAAGAAAGAGTTTAATATATGTATGTTCTTCTAAAAGTGACTAATGAACTACAGAAAGCAAGCTCCATTATAATTATATATGCATTTTCCCACGAGTGTAATGAGTGTGTGTCTGTCCATGTAACGGATCTGTATGCCTACTTAAGATTATCGCATGATTGAGTCAGTGAATGCAAGTTTTGGATTTCTCACAAAATCTTTAAAAGCAGTAGAAAGTTAAAATTAACTTCAAATAGTTAGATCTTTTGTTAAATGATTACTTTGAAATTTTAATATAGACCTATTAGTTTCTTCTTAAATGTTTACTCGAACAGTTGAGTGCATTCGCTGTGGTGTGTTTGTATCGCTTCATTATTATTATTAAATAAATGGTGTATGTAAATGTGTCGTTTTATTTTAAAATTTCCTTCTTTTTTTTATAAAATTTATTTTTGTTGAAGCAATAACACAATTAGTTATATGGCAGTTCATGAAAACAGATTTTTCTTATTAAATTAAGCATTTTTACTTTAATATGCATTATTATCTATACATATATCGATCAAAAAGGTACTAGATACACAATCAGCGACAAAAAATATTCTCACCGAATGAGCGCCCATTTGAACATTTGAGCGCGCTTTTAATTTAGTAGCGTTCGAACGCTCCGATGGTAAACATGCAGGTCCGTCTTAAACCATGGAGTCCCTTGGGCAAACATCAATTTTGGGGCCTTTTAGAAAGTTAAAAAAATGTGAATGATCCATCACGAAATCTATCAAAACTATCTTTTCGGATTTATTCGAGGATTTAATAAATAATAAAATTAATTTAATGATTTAATTTATTTTAATTCCACACGTTTCCATCAATAAGAAACACTCTAACAGAGCAATTTATGTTGTTGGTAAATCTAGAGTTGTCTGCGAAATTTTATTATTAATACGTATACTGAGCTTCGCGAAGGCTTTATTCACTTTTTGGTAGAATAAAAGAATACAGATTTTGTAGAATAAATATAGATTTCATTTCTGCTACATTACTCCAAAGTAGTATCCAGATAGTAAAATAGTATCCAGATAGTATAATAGTAGGTAGTAAAATAGTATCAAGATAAAATACTATGATAATAACTAAAATACACAAGTCGGGCAGTGTGGTCGCCCATTAGGCGACTGGCTTTTCCTATTGCATATAGTACGGTGCAATTAGATCCCAACCTCAACATCCAAAGTAAAAGTTTCCCTCCAGCTCCAAATTGTTCTATATAGTCCACATATTATTTGGTAAATAGTTACACCATTTTGAGCGACGGGTTTTACTTTTTTAAGTATTTTTTAAATTAAGTCGTAATGAACACGCATTTCTTGTCGCGGCGTGGCGCCATGGCGGCGTGCGACGAGCGGCGAGCCTCGATCCTTATTTTGTTTTTATGAAAACAACTTTAAACGGTTCATTTTACATTTTTGTATATTTATTTATTTTTTATTGGATTGTGTATCTAGTACTTTTTTGATCGATGCGTATACTCGTATAATATAAAATTCTGAATCGAATCTGTACATAAAAAAATCTCTAGAAAATCTTATTGAAATAGTTATTATTATCGACACAAAAACCGACACTATAGTTAGGATTTTTGATGAAATTTGGTGTGATGATAGCTGGGTATCCGGGTCTACATATAGGATACTTTATACTGCGGTAAATATCTTATATCTGAGAAATCTATACAAAACGTTACAACGTAACCAGGAACGAACCCGAACGGAGCGAGGGGGAGTCGCTAGTCATAATTATATCTAAAGATTTGTGTGAATACTTACTATGTTGTATCGATACTGTATGAAATTTAAATCACTCAAAAGCAATGTAAAAATTTGGGACGTGTGCTAAAAATTAAACAAAAGAACCAGTTTTAACATTTTATTTTATAAATAAATATATTGAGACTAACTGGCAATAAACATAGAACTTCAGTAATTCACATAATAACTTGTATGAAACATAATTTCCCTTTAAAATATGTATAACAAATTAATATCGCGACACTTTCAACTAATTTTCTAAGCTATACATATGGCCTTAAAGAATTTCAAATATATTAATTATAATGGCTTCAATATACTATTTTTATAATACCACTTCTCACTGTGCTAAGTCCGGCGCCACATTATGTTGAGGTAAAGAAAACTAGATTTTTTTACAATTTTTTCTTCTAAAGTAAACGCAAAAATAAATTTTGTAATATACAAAAAAGTAATATAGATGGCGCCATCTTACTTTACATGAAATCACCCACTAATTGATAAATTTTTAGCAGTACATTGTCCCTAACCCATAAAGCCAAAATACACACTGCAATTTTATTCTATACAAAGTGACTGCTCCGAAGCCGAGGTGAAGTCACAATCATAGCTATTTACAATACATTAATTATACGCGTAATGTTGAAAATTTATTTTAAATGCTAGCATTCTGATGATTCGCCGAGTCGACAGGTTTTAAATGTTTTAGCTAAGATTTATATCTCTAGATGCGCCCTGCAACATGTAAATGTGACCACGTTTTGTTGGTTTATCTGTTTATATGTTACAACAACGAATGGCATTCAGTAACAAGTATAAGTACGTCTGGCTCACTCTTACTGAAAATGGTACACAATCATTGTATGTCACAAAAAACGTCATTTTTACTTCATAAAAAAATTTAAAAGTATGTACATATTACATAAAAGTTAATTAACTTGATTATAAAATATATAATCGAAATTTCTTATTATTCTTATTATAGCTTCTTTAAACAACGAAATGTAGCACAAAGCTGATGTAGATCGTGTGAACATTTACAAGTACGGTGAGGGCCCTTCTATGGGTTTAAATCTTTGCATAAAATTTTAACGACACCGGCGAGAAACAAAATTGTAGCTCTAATTATTAGCTACAATTATATCCCTTATTATCATGGACCATTCACACAGCCAGTGTAGGACAAAATCCCTTTATAGTTCCGCGCGTTTCGGAAAATCGTTTAATTTGACAATCGCTCGTACAAGCTTCACTTGTAACTAAATATGATCAAACATCAGTCGATTTAAACCTACTTCTAACTGACGCACCGACTTTTATTAATCATAAAAAGACGAGTAATTTACAATTTCGCAGAATTATATTATATGTAATTAAAAAAATGGAAATTCCTGAAGACCTACAGAGAATATTTGGGCTCAAGCAAAGTAGGAGTATCTCACTATATATCAGTGTACGGCATTTTTAGAAGATATTGTGAACTACATTGGCGCTAGTTGGCGAGATATATTTATATCTTTATATATATAATTCTTCTGTGAGTGTGTATGTCACTGAACTTCTCTCAAACGACTGGACCGATTTTGATGAAATTTTTTGTGTGTGTTCAAGGGGATCTGGGAATGGTTTAGATTCACAATTTGAATAATAATTTTCATCAAAAAAAATATTAAAAAAAGTTTGAAATTTTCAAATTAAAGACGTGTAGACAGGACAACGTCTGTCGGGTCCGCTAGTACAATTATAATTTAATGCGATTTTAAGCCTAAACGTATATTTTCAGTGACAAAAGGTTAGTTTCCATTCAAATAAGTACATTTGATTTTTGCACTTTATTTCGAGCATCAAAAATTAGGACTATCTATTGTGTTAAAGTTAAATAAAAAAGAAGAACTATGTATAAATAACAATTAAGAATAGAAATATTGCACTCTTACTTTTAAACCACCATACTGAATAGTGACGTCATAATGTAGCTAGTTGTAGATTCTATTCTCGCTGATGCAAATTAAGAGTAGTACAAAATAAGTGTACTTCAACTAAAGTCTTTATTACGTGCGACTCAGACATCGAACCTGCTATAACAGCACGATGCCTTACAATACGTCTCTTGCGAACAAACTGCAAGGCTTCTTGAATTTGTAATATTAGAATATTTAATTTTAACGCTAGTTACGAGGGGTTCTGAAGTTGCACGTGAGAATTTTAAAGGGTCGTTAGATTTTCCATATTCAAGGGCTTGATCTAAATGCTTTGTTATCACCGAGTGACCCTTTGATATATTTTTCAAGGGGTCGCGAGATATACGACACGACTGATTTAATACATCTATTATTGTCATATCATTATAAGATATTGAACGGGATGAGGGGTCGAGGTTTGTTGATTTTGATGATTGAAATACTAAGGGGTCCGATATCGACCTTGAAGAGTAATTAGATGTAAGTACAGAGTAAGAACTCGAGAGGTTTTTTGATGAAAACGGTTGTTTCGTTACTGGATTTAATGAAAGCTGTGACTTGTTAGTTGAGCTTATACTCGTAGATAGCTTAGATAAATTGAATTTATTTCCTAAGGTTATCTGAAATGGCGGTATAGGTAAATGCGTGTAAAGATTGTTAAATACCGATGTTGTAGCAAGTTTCACAGACAAGGGGTCGGTCACCAGATCGCCAGGCGCACTGACTGCGCAAGGCAAGGGGTCCAGTAGGTTGCGAGATGACACGAGTACATTGTTCGGCAGCAAGGGGTCCCTTGTTGCGGGGTCTCGAGGACGGGGGTCCCGCGGCAAGGGGTCGGTGGCCGGGGGGTCGGGGGGCTACCGCGGCTGCTGCGCCTGGCGCAGGTGTATGAGGTCGGCGAGCTGCGCCTTGTACAGCTGCGTGACGTCGTGCAGGTCCAGGCGCAGCTCCTCCAGCTGCTCCTCCTTCTCGCCGTACATCTGCAGCAGCGCGTCGTACTGCTCCTGCACGTTCTGCGGCGAGTTGGGAATGTTAGTTCGTACTGACTTTTTAGTGTTCACGTCTTATATGTTAATTTAGTAAATATATATGTAATAATATAATTACTCGTGTAGGAAAAAAATTAATCAAAAATGGGATTATTTATGCAAATTATAACTTTTTTCATCTGTGTCTACTGGCGAATTATAATGTAAATTGAAAATTACAATAAACCAAAAATTTGCTTTCGCATTTATAACATCATAAGTATTTGTCGTTTGCGCGAGGTAATTGATAAAATCCTATTTTTTAATTTATACTCTATAGTCTATACTAATGTTGTAAAGAGGAAAGATTTTTTGTTTGTTTGTACCGAATAAGCTCCGAAACTACTGAACCGGTTTAGACGAAATTCGATAAGAAAATGTTGAGAGTCTGAGGAGGAAATAGGATAGTTTATTCTAGAAATTATCCTTTATGGGGGTGAAAATGGGGATGGATGTTTTTATGGGGAAGCAACCTAGGGATGCACCTGAGTGAAGCGAGGATGAGTAGTTAATTTTGTATATAATTATATTTCTATCGGATAATACAGAAATTTTTGGAGTTCAACTTTAAAGTTTATATCAAGAAATTAATTTACATTCACAATTTTTGACAGAAACGCTGCCGAATGCGAGTTCTATCAAAAGTGACCAATGTTCATGGCCAATAATTGCGAAATAATTTCAATACCCGTCGTTAAAACCGTTCCCCGAGCGTGATATAAGAGTATGTACGGTGTCGCGCCGGTCACCTGGTACTCCTGCAGGCGGAGGTGCGCGGCGGCCAGGCGGCCGGCCAGCGCGCGGCGCTCCGCCGCCAGCGCCGTCAGCGCCGCGTCGCGCCCGCGCCGAGAGCCCTCGCGCCGCGTCAGCGCCGCCAGCTGCTCCTCCACGCCCAGCACGCCCGCGCCCCCCGCGCCGCCCGCGCCCGGCGGCTCCTCCTGCCGCACCGGGAATATATCCATTAGGGGTGTGTAATAATTCAAACTCAACAATTTTTCTTTCCATGATTCGAAACTTGAAAGTTGATTCGAATTTCGATTCGAATATTAATTTGTTGTAGAAACCCAAATAGTACTCCAATAATTGAATTTCTATAAACATGGATGACCATCAATTTTTATAAAAAGATAAGTTTATTACAAATAATTCAACTTTTTCTGAAAACAAACGTATATTTGGTATTTACAACTTCACGCTTAGATTTTCTTGCATTGAATTTGAATCATTCCCAACGTGATTACCACTTGTCTTACGATAAAGTAAAACATCGTAAGGAAACCTGCAAGTCTAACAGAACGTAGCAAGATTTCGAAAAACATGCTCAGTCCGCCCGCAGCTGTCCAGCGTGGCGGACTTTGACCAGATCCTCCTCGTATTAAATAAATAAAACCATGTGATCAGGACATACGGAGTGCCAGAAGGACGCGGCGAAGGTGTCGGAGGAGGCGGAGGGCGCGGGGGACACGTCGCCGCGCGCGGACACCTGCTCCTGCAACACAACATCCATATATATATAAACATTAAATAAAAACACTACATATTATATATTTATATACTATATAATATATGTTAATCAAAATAAAACGTAAACACGTAACTAAAAAAACTTGTCTCTGAGAAATTTCTTTCAGAAACCTTTAGATGTGAACCGTTCAAAAAAAAAAATAAGGTCGTATAGATATAATATTTTAAAATATTAGTTGGTATAAACTTACTTATAACTGTATGAATATTGTATATACTAACTTACAATATTATTAACAATAATTAATGCTTGATTTGATATGTAATGTAATGTAGTATATAGTTTTATTTAAAATTTACTTAAAATATAATCCGGCATTTATTATCAAACAATTAAAATAAATAGTTAATATTAAAAATACGTAGGAAATATCATTGATTGAAAAAAAAATGTTACATGTTGAATCTAATCGAAGCTAAGCCTGCACAGAGTGCACACGAACTTCTTACAATATACATACATTCCTCAACACTTATGTTCGCCTGATACTTTTGTCACGAGTATTAGGGGAGCACGAACCTCAAGGAGTTGTCACTATACATGAAGAGCACCGTCATAAGAGTGCATACGAACTACTTACTACATGCACTCCTCGACACTTATGTTCGCCTGGTGCTAGTGATGACGTCACACAGGGTACTTTTAGTAAACAATAAAGTGTCGTGACGTTCGTAATATTCCACTTTTTTCCATTTAGCTGTAATTCGCGTGACTATTTTTTTTAAACGTCAAAAAATCTAAATATGCAAAAAAACTTTTACAAGTAGTACTTTTCAATTGTTAATTTTATTATTAATTTTATTAAATGTCCATGAAATCTACCACTGTATCCGCTCGGAAGGCAGTTCTGCTGAGAAGAGTCGGCGAGAAACTCAACAAATGCTCTTTTTAAATACAATAATAATTTACAATACATCAATAGAATTATAATTTATGTTGTTATCCTGTGTGAGTATCAACTTATTGGGCAAAGCTCACCTGCAGTATAACATTGCGCCGCCTCTCGGCGTCCAACGCGGCGCGCTCGGCCGCCAGCTGCGCGTCCGTCTCGCTCACTCGCGCGCGCAGCTCCGATATCTCCCTCTCGCTCTCCTCACGCAAACGGTCCAGTTCCAGGGTTTTCCTTCAAACATAGTATTGTGGAATTAAAGATTGCGAGTTTAATTATATAAATGGTACCAAACGTAAGTTATATAAGAGACATGTGTGGAGGTCAAAGTGAAAAATTATTATAATTTTCGTTTAAACCAGAAAGATAGGAACAAAAAATAGACATTATATAGGTTTTCCACAATTTTTTTAAAGATATTTCTATTTTGCTCCATTAAATATTGAATTGTATGTGCATGTTCATTCGTCCTACTACAACGGCTGAACGGATTTGAATCGTATTTAGTATATAGATAGCCTACGAGCTGGAATGGCCCATGGAAAACAAATCGCGCAATATAACATAAATAATAAACAATATTAATAATACAACACATAAACCAATCAAGTATTCACTTATAACTAACAGAAATAAGAAGTAGAAGACGTAAACAATAAAAAACGAATGTCCATCCGGCACTCACTCCTGCAGCAGCGCGCCGAGCCGCGCCAGCTCCCGCTCGAGCCGCCGCGCGCGCTCCTCCTGCGCGTGCGCGGCGGCGGCGCGCTCGCCGGCCTGCGCCTGCGCGTGCTCCCGCGCCTGCGCCAGCGCCGCCTCCGCCGCCGCTACACATCCGGTTATTATAACATCTATACTAATCTCTATAAATATTATAAATGTCAAAGTTTGTGAGTAGGTATGTATAGATGTTTGTTATTCTTTCACGCCAGAACGGCTCAACTCATCTGAATGAAATTTGACACAGAGATAGGTTATAATCTGGAATAGCACATAGGCTACTTTTTATCCCGGAAAAATATACGGTTCCCGAGAGATAGGTTTGTTTTTGTTCTTCCAGAGACGAACCTGAGCGAAGCGAGGATGAGCCGCTAGTCAATAATATGTACCTATGTTAGGTTTATTATGATATACATATGTAAAAAGTGGTCACTATTGGGGTCCAATACAATTAACACTCACTAGTACTGTAGTCTGTAACAATAACCACTATATTTAACTCATAAAACAATATTCTATTGACTCGGGTTGTAAAATCATTTTGCGTCTTTAATAGCGCGATTTATCTTCCCCGTAACGCCATCTATTGACAAACTATTACAACAAAGCTAATTAGACAACATACTTATGTTATAACAGATTTACAATTTTGGCTGTATGGTGAGTTTGCGCACCTCCATTTATATCATGTACTTCTGTTTTTACGTTTTAATGAGAGACATGTCTGTTGTCTTTACGCAACCATAGAGTATTGGACATTGTTTTGACTTTACATGCCACGTTTTAATTTTGTTAACTATAATATAATATCCCCTTAATCGACTTCGGTTACAGCTAATATCAGTAAGACTAGTCATTTGGGTAGGAATTGTCATAATGTATGTATACATGTATGTTTTTGGTCTCAAAGTAAAATAACAATTCGACACCGGTAGATAATGATTTAAGCGCTTATCTATAGCAACCGACCTCGCTGCGCGGAGAGCGCGGCGGCGGCGGCGGCGTGCGCGCGTTCGCGCTCCAGCGCCGCGCGCTGCAGCGCCGCCAGCTGCTGCAGCAGCGCGGCCGGCGCCTCCGCCCCCGCCGACTCGCCCGCCGCCGCCGCCCCCGCCACCCCCGCCGCCGCCTCGCGCGCCTCCGCCGCCTCGCGCCGTAGCGCCTCCTCGCGCGACAGCCAGCGCTGCTCCTCTGTGGGGTGTAACGAATTATAACAGACGATCATTATCTGAACTGCGAAAATGGGCACGAGCGTTAACAGTTATTTCAACTGCCTGAAAATTTCAATTCAATTCTTTGTTTTGCGGCTTATAAGTGAGCCATTTTAGCACAGACTACTTCACCAATATCGTGTAGAGTAGATGACTGCCTAAAACTATAATTTAACTTCACCGCTCGATATGATTTAACTTATGAGTGGAAAGTTTATTGGTCTATGAACCATTTATATAAGCTATTGTATAAATACCTGTAAAACCTTTTACAAACTCTTCCGACGATAATTTTTACATTCTTAAACATAAGCCAATAAAAACTTATTTTTTTAATTATTAGGTGAAAGTTATAAAAAATTATGAGTTAATTAATATAAATAGAAAAAAAAAACCTTAAAAATATCAGATCGAAAGAAGACTATGCATAATTTAGAGTACAAAATTTTCGTTTATGTTTTTTACGCTAAAGTAAATACGAATGAAATTTAATAAAATTTAGTCTATGAATATCTGATATAACAAACAGGCTATTGTCAAACACTCAAGTAATATAAAACAAAGAACAAAGGAGCCGCACCGCGTGCCCGCTCGGCGCGCAGCTGGCGCAGCTCGTGGCGCAGCGCGTCGGCGGCGGCGTCGGCGCGCGCGCGGCCGCCTCGGCCTGCGCCAGCGCCGCGCGCGCGCGCCGCAGCTCGCCGCTGTGCCGCTGCAGCTCGCCCAGCTCGCGCTTCGACGCCTCCAGGGACGTTCGGGCGCTCTCCAGCTTTTGGGTGGTGTCGTCTAGTGAACTTTTCGTCTGGAACCGTTACAAAATATTCAATTCAATTACACTTTATTGTACACCGAGACAGTGGCGGATTAAGCAAGCACGGGGCCCGTAGCAAATTCTTTCGAAGAGCCCTCGATCTGCTATGGGTTTTTAAGTCAAGTGGTAAAAAAAACAATTTAATACTCAATACCTCAGGGCTCAATACGTTTATTTGCAATCTATAGCTTACAATTTTGTAGGTGATTAATAGTACAGTAGATAGATTCCTATAGGCTCTGTTAGGCTCTGACAAGTACAAAAAGCCAGAGATGAGAATTCCTGGCAATTTAGGATAATTTTGATAAGAAACTAACAATTGTAAAGTGACGATACTGCACAATTTTTTTTAATAGATATTTTTAAATTCTAATACCTTTAAACGAGCAATTTTTGTTTATTTATACCGGCGATCTCGAAAACGGCTCTAACGATTTTGCTGAAATTTGGCATGTGGGGTTTTCGGGGGCAAAAAATCGATCTAGATTAGACTTATGTCTAGGAAAGCGCGTGTTTTCGAGTTTTCATGCGGTTTTCTTTCGCATTATTCCACGCAAAATATAGTCGCTAATTTCGCACGCTCAGGTAGGGGAGAGCGGGGCTGGAAGTTACCGGGGTAAGTCGTTCCGACGGTAATAACTTTGTAAGGGAAAGACATAGCAATAGATGTGAAGTGCGCCGTTAAAGCATCAGGTAACGCGCTGCGCCGTCAGCCATTTTAGTTACTCCAGCGACGAAGGTTGAGTGGTTGTGTGCACGTAGCTGTCAAAACGTCACGTAAGTAAATTTTTTCGTGCTTAAACTATTTGGTCTATCTATGTTTATTATGGACCGATTCATATGTAACTTTCCAAAATTGTAGTGATATTGGTAAGGTATATTATCGCATAAGTATTTTCATAATTTATTATATTAGTTTGCCAGTATGTCAGTCTTCGTATATAGACGTAATTTGGGGTAAGAAGTTCCTTCCTGACGGGGCTGGTTGTTCCCCGGAACAACTTACCCCAATTTACCTTCGTCGTATACCTAAAATACTTTAGACCTTTTTTTTCATTTTAAGGATGCGAAATTACAATCATAAGACAGAGGAAGGTAAACCCTCCGAGACTCCTCCGAGATTCTTTTAAACTGTGGCAAGAGAACCGGAAATTTGCTGGAGCTGACTGTTTCACTGGATATAAGAAAAAAATCTATTTTAACTGACACGCCAGACAAAATGCGTTAGTCGAAGAATAGAAAAAGAAGAAGACAAAAAAGAATGAAGACATTGCAAAGAAAGGATAAGAAAAAAATCAAACAAAATAGTAAAGGAAAAGATAAAACCAACGGGAAAGGGAAGGGAAAATCTCAAGGAAAAGCTAAACGAAGAGTGTTACAAGAAAACGAGACTGACATGTTAGCACGATCTAGAATGGTACGGTATAATTTGTTGTGATGCATATATTCAAATTTTCGTCCAAGAGAACAATGGATAGAATGTATCATGTGTAAAAATTGGGCTCGTATCAAATGTTTAGAGGCGTACTTATGTGTGTCCCAACTGTGAGTCAGATAAAGAAATGAGTGTCGAATAAAATTCCTGATGAATGAGAATGGAGATTGCCAAATTTAATTACACCTGATTAATGTAAGACTGATATAATGAATAATTTAAACAAATAAAAATAAGTTAATTTGGAGATTATGTTTTGTTGTTTCTTGAAGTCAAGTTATGCATCTGATAAGATTTATAAGTTGATAGATCTCCATTATATGTTAACTAAGTAAAGAAACGTTTATCTGGAGCACACCATTTAGGATTTGTTGTTTTTTAAAGTTACAAAAAGTTTATCTGGACCAGTAATATTTTGTACCAGTAAAAATTTGTTGTTTTTTAAAGTTTATTTTTACTTAACTTAAACATTACATCATAAATATATAGAAATGGTTGTTTTATTTTATAAAACCTATGTTATTCGGATAGATTATTGTTATAATCTAAGTGGAACAATTTGCCCCAACGATGGAACAACTCGCCCCAAAGCGGGGCTGAATGTTCCGCTCCGAAATTTGACAAAAAATTGCTTCTGTAAAAAAAACTATTAAGATACTAGTATAAATGACTATAATATTACAAAAACCAATAAACATTCATTCAATATTTGCACATGTTAAAAATGAAACCCTTCATTTTTATAATAAAATTTCATGTTATTTAAAAATCGGAACTTCCAACCCCGCTCTCCCCTACTCGTATAAGCATCGTGGTCAAGCAGCCAAGGCGCAAGATTGAAAATCACAGGTGCCCCGAATCGATTCGAATTCAAATCCCGGTCGGATACAAAGCGTTTACTTTTGTTTTATTTTCGAAGTTTTTAGTTTTTTTTAAGAAAATTGTACTTTTGGCCAAAAACTCCGAGCGAAGCGCAAAGACCCAAGGTATTTATATTTAATACAAAGTATATTATATTTTTAGAAATAGCTAATTTTATATTTTTAGACCAATCGGAATCCGCTTATTTTTAAGAGAAAAAAAATATATTGAAAACCAGAAGTTTTATGATTTTAAAATGTTAGCATGTATATAGGGAATTCAAATTCGTAAATGCCCCCTATGGCCAGCTACCCCCGAGAAATGGCGGGACGCAAAGCGTTGAAAAATAGTTTTTTTTTTATTTTCCGCTTTAGTGTGCCGTTCTATCGAAAAATGTTTTGTACAAAAGTTGTAGGCTTTGTAGAATTCTACAACTTTTATAAATAACACTATTTACAATAATGTCAAAGTTTTCGAGATATATGCAAAAAACTCGGTTTTTAACTTTTTCTTGGTTTTTTTATTTTTAATTTCTAGAATAATCTTTTGATTTCCATAAAAATACATAATAATGTACAGAAGTCGGAATATTTATAAACTATGCCCTATAATCTTCTGAGATAATTCCTCTTTATATTGATAAAAACTGTATGAAAACCAGTACAGTAGTTTCTAGAATTAACCCAAACAAACACAATCATAACCTTAATTTATAATATGTAGTAATAATCCTTAAAAAAACATTTTCACTCATATGTTCCAATACAAAAATTCTAAATTTAAAATTACACGAGAATAATTACGTAAAACCATTACGTTTAAAGTCACGACTTGCATGTTTTACACATATTTCAATACATAAAGATAATATTCTTATACAAAATAGATATTAACTTATTATTATTAGATCTATACAGAAAAGAAATAAGAAATGCATATTAAAATTTGAACCTTATTTCGTAGTACATAAAGCCTTACGGTAATAGAATTTTAAATCTACATCTATATCCATATGTATTACGTATGTATGTATGTATGTATGTCGCAGTGAAATTGTACAAACCATGAAATTATAATTTCAATACTGAAATTATAATTTCATGGTTTGTACAATTCCTCCTCCTTTTTTTCCAACAATTTCTATACAACTTAACAATATCTATACAACAATTTCTATTTCTTGCAATTTCACGGGACATGTTTAAGTATATTATAATTTCATTATAAAGGCGGCCAATCTCACTAAGACCAACCAACTGCGCGAGAGATATTAAAGTGCAGAAATAAGAACGTAAACAAGGCGCAAGCAGGACCGACGGCTTCACGTCTTTCCCTCGGCACGGGGGCTAAACACCGCCAACTTTCCTACTGATAATTTCTTGATAGAAAAACCCAATGATTACACTTGGCCCCACTCGGGACTCGAACTCAGGACCTGCGGATCCACCGACCACCGAAGCAGGCTTGGCTTAATGAATGTCTGTATAATATGTTTCCTTAAGCGCAATAAAAATTGCACTGCCACTACAATATCATCTGCGCAGGCGCAAGTCGGACTCATGAGTGTAGTTTGCTGTTACATATTACAATTAAGTAGACTATATAGACTTTAATTTTCCTATACTAACTTTATTTTTCGTTTAATTTTTTTAAATTAGTCCCTAAGTCCAACAGGAACAGCTGTCAAAACAATAATTCTATTCCTGAACTTTGAGCCTTCAATTTTTCTTTGCTTTTATAGATAAGCAATAAGGAGTTCTAACATCTTATAGTAATCTATAAATATAATGAATTCTAATTGAATCGAATCTGTATGTCACATATTTTTTGCAAAATCTTATTGAGATAGTCATTATTATTGATACAGACGCCGAGTTTATAGTTTTAAGAATTTTTGTCAGTCTGACTATCTGGGAACGCATCATGTGAAAACCACAGAACAGATTTTGATGAAATTTCGTATGATGATAGCTGGTTGTCCGGGTCAACATATAGGATACTTTTTACTGCGGGAAAACATCTCATCTCTGAGAAATCTATACTAAACGTTAAAACGTATGTAGGGACAAACCCGAGCGGAGCGAGGGTGAGTCGCTTGTTCATTAACTAAACATCAGTGATGCAATTTAAAATAAAACTATATTTTGGGATTTTTTCGAGTATATATTTTGATTTTTAGTTCCCGACGTTTCGAATGCTTTACACCAATGATAACGGAAGAGACTAAGGTTTAGACGTCTTAAAAGTTATTATACAGTTTTATTTTCAAATGTCAAATACTCGTGTAAATCTAAGAAAATATCATCAATGTTGCAAACCTCTGCGAGTTCCGCCTCCATCTTCTTATTAGCGGTGGTGAGTCTGTACACGGCTTCTATCTGGCTGACCTCCAGCTCCTCCTTGGCTGCGATGGACCTCTTCATGCGGTCTATTTCCGCTGTTTGTTCTGCTATTTTATCCCTGGAAATAAACGTTTTATGTAATAAAAAAAATCTACTATTTTGTATTTACTGCATTTCCATGTTTACCCAAAAACGTTATAGTATTGACTGTTATTGTTATAATATTATTAAATAATTACAATATTTAAATAACAATATTGTTTGTTGTTCACAACCAAGTAAATAGATCCACAGATGATAAGGTAAATTAAGGCTGTTTCTGTTTTAGGTATTAATTTTATTTAATCTCGAAAATACCCACTATGATAATTTCATCACTGCCACTACAAATAACACTAAAAGATATACTTTTTTTATATTATAAATGTTAAAGTGTGTTTATTTGTTTGTCCTTCTTTCACGTCGAAACAGAGTGACGGATTGGCGTGATTTTTTGTGTGGAGATAGTTTGAGGGCTAGAGAGTGACACAGGCTACTTTTTCTACCGGAGATTGTCTCATTCTCACGGGAAAACGTTTTATAATACCAGCCACAACAGCTCATCACACCTATGCTATGTATATATGTATATAACATATAGTCTATCTATTTGTATACTAGCCGTTAAAACATTAAATGTTAAAACTAGGGACAAACCCGAGCGAAGCAAGGTTGAGTCGCGATTTCTTAAATAAGAATGAAAAACAAATTAATTAAATCTAATTTGAGTTTATGATGAAACTCACCGCAATCCTTTAATAACCTGTTCATTATCTTTCTCTTTGGCTCTCAATTTCTTTATAATATTTGAATGCTGCAACTCTTGGCGAGCCAACTTCTCTCCTTCCTCATGAAGCTGGGCAATAATCTCATCTTTCTCCTTCAATGTGGTCTCTAGTTCCGAAGAGTTCTTACGAGACATATCTGACTTGAGGGTGTCTAGTTGTTTTCTTAATTGATCCTGAAAATAAATTAACTTAAATATTTTTCATACCCCTAAAATAATAAATACAAGTGTGCTGTATGTGTAGTGGATTTAAGTTCCACATTTGTCTTATAAGTACAAAAACATAACAAACTATACAATATTTAAAATTAGTACAGTTGAGAATACTTCAGTAATTAGGAATATTATTTATTTTAATCTCAAAATCATTGGCATTGAAAATATTTATGTATAAGAATATTTGTACAATGTACACCTTCATTTCGCATTCAGAAGGTCAAAATAGTAATTCATTAAAACTTGATTGAAATGTGTTTAATTTATGCTCATTATTTCTTATTCACTCAACCTATCATAGAAATATATTTATTTACATACATAGTACCTATATCTGAATAAAAAATGCATTAACTATTTATTATCAAAGTAAAAAAAAACATTTTTTCCATTTATTCCTAAATTAATTGATTTTGTATAGTTTTGTTATTATAAGTCATATACTTAATATCTAAAAAAAAAATTATAATAATTTTTCTACAACCCTAATTTTATAAAATCATCGCTTTAACTCCATTAACCTATTATGTAAAAATAAATAAATTAAAAACAAAAGTTTACCTTTTCTCTGATTGCTTGTTGGAATTTTTTCTCAAGTGCCGACATTCTCTGAGTATAATCTTCGGTTATTGTATTTATGTCACCACCTTCATGTTTTGCCAGTAAGGTTTCCATTTGGCTTTTTAAACTAGCATTACACTCAGCCAGCTCTGCATTACTTCTACTTACTTCCATCAGTCTATTCTCTCTTGCGTCCAAAATCTCTGCCATTTCACAGAGTCGTCGCATCAAACGATCATTTTCAGAACACTGGCTCTCGTCACTAGTATTACTTTGTATTGATGCTTCAGATAACTCTCGATTGTGACCACGAATTTTAGTTGCCAGATTTTTACCAAGCACCAAATCTACTAGATTAGGGGATGTTGCACCATCGTGTTTTTGTTTAAAACAATATTTACCGGGGCTATTTCTACAACCATTGCTGCTATCTCCATTTGGACTGGGAATAATTTCAATATCTGATGATGTGGCTGTTTCCAGTTCATCACCTGATGTGTGGCCTGATGTACGATCTGAACCAATTTTGACCAAATCACTTTTGCTATCAGAGCTTACCGGCGAAGTTCTCTCTTTTACACTACATTCTTTCTGTGAAGAATCACTACTGCCAGCACTGCATTGCTTTTTCTCAACATTTACAAATGCTGAGCTCTCAGACCTTAACAAATCTGCTGATACATTGTAAAATGAAGATGAATCACTCCACTTCTCCATTAAAATATCCTCTGGATCATTTTCTTTCTTTTGTTCTTCTGCATTTTCCAAAGTAACACTATCATTATCAGCATTTAAAGTTCTGTCAGACCAAGAGCCATCATTAGAAGAGTTCTCACTAATTTGCATTTTGTGTACAAGTAAAGGCTGTTCTAAGTGTATTATATTTTCATTTCCTTTCAAGATTTTAGTAATTTTAGGAAATGGGCTAAGTGATTTTTCATCAGTATCTAAAACAGTGGGGGCAGTGCATTCAGATATAGAGTTATAAGACATTGTATCTTCATCATCATCAGCAACCAAACTGACACTATCAGCTGTCTCAGCCCTCTCAGTTCTTTCCCCAATAGGAGTAAATTTTTTATTTAAAAAATCATTTGATATGTTAGAAGAAGAACTACTGTTCCTATCACTTGCATAACTATCAAAACCTAAACATTCTATAGAACTAGGGCTTATAAGGCTGTCGGGTAATATTTCAACAGACTCTGAATTAAGTTTAAGGCCCGCACTACTGCTATGTGAAATAGATTGGCATGACGCTGCCTCTGAATCTGGTGTAGACTTCAAGCTTTGTGACAACACTTCTACGGAATCAGAACTATTTCTACTTGACATAAATGACAACACATTTGACCTAGTTGAATCACGTCTATCGTCATTTTTCATAACATCCTCTTTTTTTAAATTCAAACAATCGGCACCATCTGACATAACAAGTTGGCTTTTAGAAAACAAATCGTCTTGACTGTCATACTTATCTGAAATAACATTCATGGACTTTGCTTTCGGTGGATGAACAATTGTGTTGCTTTCTGATTTTGGTTGTTCAAAAAACGAGCCAGCAAATGAGCCCCATAAAGTTTGTGAAGGATTAGCTTTCGAAGGGCTTTCTGTAACAACGGGTTGCTCTTTTATTGGATCAGATTTTCCACTCTCCGCGCTGACGGTAAGACCCCATGAAGAAAAAAAGTCCGAGTTATCTTTTTGTGGTGTGCTGCCGGAGCCTGGCGATGACTTCGAAGAAGAAGGCTTTAGGGCTTCTTCTTCTTGTTCTTCACTGCTGTCATCTTGAATATCTAAGGCTTTATCGATAGTTTTCTGCGCCTCCTTCAATGCTGACTTGGCTAAACTCGTTAGCCCCGAAGCATCGAACCAATTCATTATGTGAAAACATTAGACACATAAAACACTAGAATAAGCGATTACCACTCAGAAACACATACGTATTTAAGTATATTTAAACCGTATTATTGTTTTAGAAAACCAAATCACAACACAAGTTTCGAGGTACATGTATGACGTTTACATTCCATTTTGTGTTTATCTTCGTTCAGTTTATTATTTGGAATTGTATAGCGAATAATACTTATTATTACAAATGAACATAAAATCAACTATTATTATTACTAATAATCTTTCATTTGCATGATGTATCGAATGGATTAGTTTGTATTTTACAAGGAAAAATAGTATATTTTTTCATCAGTAAATTTGACATTTGAACAACATGAAAAAAGAACGTCACTTGATTCAAATTGTTGTTGTAGAATATACAGGGAAATTTGGGACTTGCAGGCATAGCTCCAGTGGCGCAATTGGTTAGCGCACGGTACTTATAAGACAGTGTTCGTGTGAGACATGCCGGGGTTGTGAGTTCGAGCCTCACCTGGAGCATATTTTTATACTTTTTAATAATTTAAAATATATTTTTTGTTCATCAAATACGTTTTTATTATATAGTATTTATGAGGAGATATAGAAAGCTCATATTCTTTTGTTTTTATATATTGCATACTTCTATTAATTCATTATATGTATTTTGTTTCCAGTTTGTGAAAATTTTGTTTTTATCGACTTTTTTTAATTGTTAGTCTTATATCATTACGTCTAGCATTATTACTATGCTTGAACCTTGCTTTTAATGTTCAATAACCAAATGGGTTTTGGTTTTCTATAGTCGGTATGGACTATCTATAGCCTAATGGGAAAAAGGTTCTAACCTCACCTCACTCACTCACTAACTTTGGAAATTGTCATATAAATTACTAATAATAACTATAATTATTAGTCACTGTGGAAATAATAAAGTGCCATTATGTAACTTCCGCCATGTTGGGTTAAAAATGATGGCATTTAGGTAATCGTGACTGCACGAGAACTAGAACTAAACGTGTATGCCATTTCAGCTCAATCGGACACTGGGGAGAGGGTTAAATTTAACTTGCAAGATTTGATTACAGACAGACACCGGGACTGGTGACTTATATTTTTATTTTTATGGATATGAAACACCTGTTGTGTATAGAGAAATACCGGAATAAATATCTTGATTGAAAACATCACTCGTCATATACTAAAAGGAGATTTAATGATTAACTTCACCCTGTAGCCAATAACGACTAACTTCATACTGTACCTAGTCTAAATCTGTCGCATCGTAAAAAAATCACTCGAGATCATCATTCATTTTTCATAAAGCGCCAAAAGAAGTGTAGCTTAAAAAAAATCTTTTCTTAAGCTTTATATCATCTGTGGTATAGATTATCGATTGGCATTCATATCACCCGTACCTACTGCTTGAACGAAAGGCAAGCCAACAAACATACTTTCGCTTTTGTAGGTATAAGGTAGGTACCTACTATTAGTATCGGTATTATTCAAACCATTGAGTTTTTATGAAAATTATTGTTCAACTTTTATACCCCCTTATATCCCCCTATTTTACCCCCTTATATGATGAATTTCGAAAAATGCAAAAACACGTATTTATTTGTTTTGAAGAGGATTAATACTAAGTTTGAAGTAATTCTGATCATACATATTTTTTGGATTATATTATAACGTGTTTTCCCGTAGGAATTAGATAATCTCCCACAGTAAAAAGTAGCCTATATCACTCGTCCAGACCTCCAACAAAAACATCTTCATACAAAAGCTATGCTAATCCGTCACCGTTTTGACGTGAAAGAAGGAAAAACAAACAAACAAGCACACTTTCACATTTATAACATTAGTATGGAAAAGGATATGGAAATATGGATTTATAGTAAAAATCCAATAAATGGGATATAAAGTGCAAAAAGATTTTTCTAATTGCACTGGCAGTCGTATCAGAGATTACTTCAACCAAGCAAACAAAATTTAAATAGAAGACTGTTTTTTCATTAACTTATAAAAGCGTATATACTTAATTATAATTTAAATTAGTCCCAACATAATTAATTTGCAAATATACCTATCACGTCTAAAAGAACTACGATTGAAATCTAAAACATAATCGGCATTGCTCAAGCAACCTTCACCGTTGTGTAAGATAATGTTTTATATGTTTTTATGGGCTAGATATAAAAAAATATGCTCCAGGTGAGGCTCGAACTCACAACCCCGGCATGTCTCACACGAACACTGTCTTATAAGTACCGTGCGCTAACCAATTGCGCCACTGGAGCTCACTATTCCTCGTGCAAAAATCTCACATGTTCTATGGATCTAAATTACTGATTTTTTTATATCCATATTAGTTAATTTTTATGTATTTTCATGTAATATAATATAGCGTTAGTTAGTTTTGTTAGTTTGATAATACTCAGATGACTCAGTTACATGTAGGAAGTTTTATCAGGTCTGTTTCAAACTGATTATTATTGATATGCGCGTATAATGTATTCGTGCAGATTTAATGATTGCTATTATGTATGTAAATATATTATTGTTAAGTTTTGTGATAGAAAATCAATAAATAGAGGATGTTATAGTTCGCAAAATAAGTGACATTTAAGTTTGAAATAATTGTAGGTACAATAAATACATATTATCTGAAGTAAACTGTCCGTCGCAAACAAATGGATTGGTGTCGATGTGGGTAGATTTAATTTAGATTTATAAAATGTATCATGAATTAAAACTGAAAGTTATTTTAATTAAGGCTAAATATTTTATTTCGGAGGCCGTAAGTTCTATTACCGCATGACGGTAAATAAAAACAGTGCTTTTTCTGCCTACCCTACAAGTGTACTCGTACACTTGCTTCGCGCAGCTTCTGAAGCGAGGATTTTTATTATATTGTTATCTATCAAAAGAAATAAGGGTTGACATAGATTCTTATGTTTATTTATTCGTAATTAATATAAGAATACGAAGATATCTAAAATACAAGTAAAGTAGGTAAGCTATTAAGTAGTTATTATGTCAGTCGTATCTAGATTTCCCAGGAATGTAGTATACGCCCAAGTTTGTGATGAAGTTTCAAGTTGAATAACTTCCTGTAGTCCAAAAACACCACTCATTATTTTGCTTTCAATCTTCTATATAATTTGCCACATCACAAACTTGCGTGCTGACAACGGTTACGACTTATGAATGTTTCGCGAAAGAATGCGGTGGTCCTTAAGAATTTCATGTATTTAATTTTGTAATTCCTGAGGAGGGTTTTATTATCTCACTCTTAAAAACGTTTTATGTACTATGTTTCTGTTCCTCGTTTCTGTTAGATTCTGTAGAGTCCTCTGGTACTTTCTTTATTACTTCTGTGTTGCGGCTATAAAATATCACTTCGACCATTTCTCGTCTACTGTGATCACCGCATATTAAATTAGAATAACCCACTAAACCCAGCCGCTGTAATAAACTGCAGGATTTGCTTTGGAGTACACTCCATAATGTCTTATGGGTCTATAAATAATAAGCTGCTTCTCAAGTTGTGCGTTTGTGAATAAGAAGTCCACACTCTTCCAGAAGATGAAGTGGCGTTTCTTCTGCCTCTATATTATACTTCTCTCTTCAGTTAAGATCTCTCTTTTAGAAGCAGCGATTTCGCGTTTTAACTCAAAAGACTCCTTCCAAGTTGCAGATACTTTTGTTCATTTAAGTCAATAATTTATTTTAAAATAATTATTATAATACAACTAATTGTGCAACATTACCAGTTCGAAAGCCTTAAAAAATTGAGTGATTTTAAAAATCTTAGACGTCTTTGTGATTGAGATTTCTCTTACGTTTAGTAATCTCAATGAAAAACGATATGAAGGATATTATTACACCTATGGCATAAATTATGAATACTCCCTGTAAAAAATAGTATATGTTTTAAAAAATATATATTTAGAGTTACGTAATATTTTCCTTGGACAATGAATAACAAGTACCTCGACATGTCTAAAAGCTAAGGGCTCAATATTTTCAACATCTCTTTTAACACGCGACAGTTTAATTTCTAATTGAACTTTGTAATCCAAATACTGTAAAGCTATCTGAAATATAAGTTTTATACTTAATAGCGACTTACATACCCTCGCTTTCCACGAGTACGTCCCTAGGGACGTTTTAATTTTTTTGAGCGGAACGCTAATTCTTTTTCTAAAATAATTCTGAAATAAAAGTAGCTCCGTATAACATTAACTATCTGCCAGTGAAAGTCCCGCCAAAATCAGTCCAGCCGTTTCGGAAATTAGCCGGAACAAACAGACAGATAGACAAAAAAAATAAAAATTGTGCTTTTCTTATAAAAAAACACAATTTTCAAATTTTAAATACCGCAATTATAAATACCGTACATATTTTCATATGCATTTAGTAAAAAGCTGTTATTTTGATATTACATACAGACACTTCAATTTTGTTTATCTGTACTTTATTTACTTTTCTAGATATCTTTATATTTGTATAAAGACAATAGAACAAACGGACATTTCTGGCATAGTGGTTTCAATGTCTACGTTTGAGTGTGTAGTAAAAAATTCAGAAAACCTGTGTCTCCCAAGCTAACAAGAGACCAGATTCGTGTAATCGTCCCACTAGCTCGCTTAATTTATTTGTATAAAACGAACTCTTTCTCGTCATCACAATACAATATTCAAAATAAAATTCTTGAAGCATAATTGTTAAATCAAAAGTCGCCTCTCTAGTTATGTATTCTCCAATCGCGTATGTGCCTACGAAGGAAAAAACTTATGTAAATATTAAATTTTATCTTCGAAGGCAGTTTCAGATAACAAATTTATTGAATATTGAAATATTCACCACCGGGAAGCTTTTCAATGCTAAACGCCATACTCCTCGTCAAACTTTTACGTTTTAACTCTTGAAATGGAAATGTACGAAATAATTTTACTAGCTCTTTAAGCAGAGGCTAGAAAAGAAATAGCAATAATTTTTATGATGTATACTTAATGGGGAACAAAAATAACTAATTAAAATGTAACCTCCTCAGAAGGTAGTAGGGAAAACGTCCAGGCATCACTCGTAGCTCCCCATATAAAGTTGCGGTCGACGATATCTTTAATTGTGTCAATTGTTGGTTCATATCTGGGTACTGTAAAGGTAGAAGCCAGACCTCCTCCATAGGCATTGTCCAGGACTAAACCAGTCAGCATCATCCATCCGACGACGCTGCGTATGCGCCAGGAAGTAAATCCTGATTCTGGACGTGACTAGATAATTGTGAACATTATTAAAAATGCAGCTGATTATAATCAATATGTAAAAGATAATTTTAAAACGATTTACTTTACCGAGGAAAACAGATAAAAATGGCTTTATTGCAATTTTGTAGATATAGTATTAAAACACTTCTAAATTTAGTATTTTGAAATCTCGATTAACGTTAAGTTCACGTTCAGTAGTTGCATTTCATTAAAAATTTAGCAAATGGTAAGAATAAAATGTTACTTACCTGTGATATCATGATACCAAAAGTTACCAAAAAACTATCCTTCGTGGAAAACCCTTTTGCTACCATCAAAGCCAAAGAGGCATAAATGAATGTGAAAAGCAAAATAATCCACATGTTTAAACCAAAAGGCAATAGTGGCATTTGCCAACTAGCTAATAACCTAAAACATACAAATTGATTAGGATGAATAAAACAGCATACTAGTGACAGCTATTACTTTGTTCCGGTCTGACTCCTTGAGTATCTCACAGACAGAGTCTGTATCTGTAACTTTAACTGCTTATTGATTTTGTTAATTTTTACAAGACAAACGTATATTTTCTTGACTAGCAAGAACACCGCGGGTTTTACTCCGCAAATCATTTATTTAACGTCATCATATCATTAAGATTAATTTTGGAATAAATTTACTTTTAGTCCTTCGAGCCGGATTATTTGAATCCAATGATGATGAGGTTAAACGTGAAGCCATACAGTGCATGAACAATTGTTATCCCACGGGAACCTATAAATAATACCGCGGTAAATATATCCTCATATTATATTACATATCCGTGTGCAAAAAGACATCTATCTGAAATTTCCAAAAAACGGATAGAAAGGATGGTGATATATCAGTAATATAATACATACAAATTATTGTTTATCAAGGAAAGTTTATTTTATTTTCAACCGACTTCCTCAAAAAGGAGGAGGTTCTCAATTCGGCAGTATTTTTTTTATGTTTGTTACCTCAGAACTCCGTCATTTATTAACCGATTTGGACAATTTTTGTTTTGTTTGAAAGGTTATACTTCCAGATTGGTCCCATTTAAATTTAAACCACCTCTAAGAGTGGAAACACAGCCAATGATGAATTTAACCTACTTCTAATTGTCATATTGACTTGAAACTTTGCATCTGTTTCTATTTCTGTTGATAGTACAGTGGTTCGGTATTGTTAACCTGATCTGATGGTAAGGTCAGAGGGTGGATAGGTGGAACTCTCCAACGGCTAACAGTAGATACTTTGAGTTTGGGCTTATTTTGTTTGATTTGACAAGCCTAACACGTTAGAATTCTTACTTTGCCACTACTGTCTACACTAAAACGGGAAAAATAAAAACTTTTTAACAAAAAAATAAAAACCGACTTCAAACAAAAGCACTAAAAAGTAAAAAATAACTGATTGGTAGTTTTCATTTACTATACATACCTAAGAAAATAATTTTAAGTCGGTGCCAGCCGATACAAAGCAAAGCACACCGACTTCGAAAATATTTGCTTAGGTATGTATAGTAAATTAAAACTACCAATCAGCTATTTTTTACTTTTTAGTGTTTTTGTTTGAAGTCGGCTTTTATTTTTTTATTAAAAAGTTTTTATTTTAAATAACGATACGTGTAGACGTAGTAAATGCAGTAGTTCAAAGATGTGTCTGTCTCTTTGTTTTAGTGCGTTAAAACTTCTAAGGTAATTTGGTTGTTTAGCGCATGCGTGATTTGTTTTAAGCAACGCATCCCATGTTTTGATTTATGAAATTTTTATTTGATGTTTTGAAATAGGTTGATAGAGAAACGTTTCAATATCTGACCTAATCTAATCAGCAAACTAAAATCAACATCAAAGGTATTTAATGAAACCATTTTGATCCTTTTGTAATCTTATTATGACAGGTACGACATATAAATTCCTTAAACTTATTTGAAGTATGCGCAGGAAACCTACTTTGGCGATGGCGCTATGCATGTGATGCCAGTTCTGACATATGGAGTTGTAAAATCCATTACAAGAAATTCTTCATACCAAGAATATAGAGCAGCTGTAAATGGAGTTCAATAAATTATCAATACAGATAAAGTATGGGATTAAAATTTGTGGCTCATTTGAAGATTGATGCTTTACTACAAAAATATTTTAAAATATATGGTTCTGTGCCTTGTAGTTATTATTGGTATAATATAGTGATAACGGTTTATGTACATAATTATGTAATAAGCATTGTCACGTTGGTCTAGTCTCATTTCGAGTCACCGAGTTACCGAGTTTTTAGTCTCCAAAACACATTTATCATTGCAGCATTTTTGTAAAGATTCAATAATTAACAATTTAATCAATCTCGAAGTTCACGAAACAAAACATAGTAGGTAATAAATAATATCATAATAATTAAACACAAAACACTATTATTATTTCACTTTGTAGTTGCAAGAAAAGAAGACAATAGTTTTCTGACGCCATTCTTTACCTACACGAGTAAGCTTAAGTTACAGGTACATGTGTTCAAATGTTGCAAGAAATATTATTTATATTATTATTTAGATTATATGTACATATATGTATATTTTATTTTGTCTTACTTATACCAAGATCGGCTCGATCCTGGAATACATTTCCTAAAATCCCAATGCCGGTCTTATTGTCGTATATTTCTCCCCACTGCTTGCCGTCATCTCCAACCATTTCTATTGTACAATTAATCCATCTGCACAAAATAAGTATTTATAAAGTCTATTTATTTTATATCTAAACCTTATCTTACATACACTATACATATATGGGTTTACGATTTCAATAATTTCTTTTCAATTGTACTTTGAAAATTTATGAAAATACCTATAAAGTTGTAGTATGTAATTTTTACCTGCAAAACTCCTCGACGATCCTAATATCTAAACCGTCCCGACCATTAGGTACAACATTAGGATCAAGTTCCAACAAAATGTACGGTTTATAAGTAAACCCCGTAACTTTTACCGTTTTTCCCTCTAAATTAGTCATGTTGTGTGGAAATAAAGATGCGTTCTTTTCAAACTTCTCAGTGAAGGAGTTCCAACTATCTAATATTATCGGCTTATTATTTTCGTGTGCGCCAACAAACTTGTGGGTGACCAAGTGGTAAATATGAGATTCATTTACTGCGTCCGATGGCAAAAGTAACAAGATATTAGCAATGAAACTTGTTTCCTTCATAGACAACACATTTAGCAACAACTGCGAATTTTTATCGCTGATATCTCGCAAAGTTGGCAACATAATTATTTTCCTATCACCATTCCTCACATTTCCCAAATGGACAACATCCTCAAATGATTTCATAAATGTTTCTGGCTCGTTTAATTGTACGATGTAATCTGAGCAGCCCATTTCTGAAGCATTGAGCATGAGATTTGTGAGAGTTTCATTATCTTTTGCAAGTATATGGACAAAACTGTTAGGCGATTTAATAAATAAATTATCTTCAGATATAATTGTAATGCAATATGATAGATTCAGGTATTTGGTAATTATTATATGTAATAGCGTCTCTATAGGAGTCCACACTTGAGGTATTATAAGTAACATTGTTATAACCGATGCTTTAGCAGTTCCTTTTTAAACTGCGAAGTTATTCAGAATGCGATCAAAGCAGTTTTGCGTCATTTTATATAGATTACCAGAAATATTTGGGGATCCCTAGTACTCGTCGATAAAATCGTCGGTAAATAATATATGTAATTTTAATGGCATCGAGGAAAAGCAATAATATTTTTAGGGTATTTAAAATGTGTATATATTAATTAAATGTAAATATTAATTAAATTAATAATCTAATTATCCGTCGTATCGGAACCGGCCTACTAGAAAAACACTTTAAACAAAAGCAAATTTCATGCAATTTATCATTACGTATTCAATGCCGTTTAACGAAACGATATAAATTTATCGTTACTGTTTGCCAATATTAGAGCCCACAAAGAATATTTACTAGATAATTATACTCTTTAAACTAAAAATTGTTCGACTAACATCGATAGCATCGATTGAAGTATTTACTTACTATAAATTACTTAAAGGAATGTCACGGTACTATTAATCATAAATTCTAAATTTTGTATGTTTGTGCATGTTTGTTCCGCCTTCACGCTGAAACGGCTGGACGGATTTGATTGTTTAGTATACAGATAGATTATAACCTTTTTCTCTAAGGTTGGGAAATGTAGCTATACCACCTGCATACATACAGTAGGACTCATCGGCAAATCCAGTACTACCCATTAAAACCAAACGGAACCTCCCCCGTCTTAATGGGGCGTTGCAGGATCGCTTACGTGCTCAATCACGACGCCTCCACGGTAGGTCTGCCGAAGCAGACCACAACAACCATGGGGTTGCTCCAACGGTCCACTCTGCTATCAGGGAAGTACCAACCACTAGAAGCAGCCCGCGTAACACACCGCCCCCCTCAAGGTGGACAGCCTCCCTGAACATTTCTTGGCTTCCGACTAACGCTAATGGGCTGTGCCGCCGTGCTTTTTTTAAAGCGTTTTTCATAAATTGGTGCAATACAACAATACAATAAAATCTTAAAAAAAAAAAGACTTTTAGGCACTAAAATGTAAAAAATAACTAAACGGGGGTTTTCATTTAGAATAGATACCTAATCAGATATTTTCGAAGTCAATGCCAGCCTACAATATTTTAAGATATGAATATCTAATAGGTAAATATGTATTATATGTATCGAAAGATTTGCTTTGCATCGGCTGGCACCGACTTCGAAAATATTTGGTTATGTACCTATCTATTCTAAATGAAAACCCCCGTTTAGTTATTTTCTACATTTTAGTGCCTGGAAGTCGGTATTTATTATTTTTTTTTTAAGTTTTTATTTTTTCATTTTTAGTGTAGACGTAATAAGCAGGTAATTTGTAAGAAGAAAGTTTTTTAAAAACATATTCGATTAAACAATAAAAAAATTCATTGTCAATGTTTATTAAAACTGCTCGACCGATTTCGATAAAATTTATATGGGACCACCTGGGAAGTATACCCTTTAAAACAAAATTCCAAACCGATCAGGCGTCTTCGAGCAATCGGTGAACATACATAAAAAAAAAAGATTACGACGAATTGAGAACCTACTCCTTTTTAAAAGTCAGTTAAAAATGTGTGTATGATATCTGCTTAGATTTCTACGACTATATCCTTTTTTTAATTTGTATGAAAAAAATATACAGAAACATTAAAATTGATTTATTGGTATCAGGTAGGTATGTGTATATGTTCGTACAAAAAGCAAGAACTTGTTTTTAGGCTACGGAATAAAAGAGAAACACGGTTATATGAACACTTTTATCAGTGCACAAACAATAATACTGGGTATACTATTATAAATAAAATGAAACTATTTAATATTAAGTCTTTATTCTAAAATAATTTGTAATTACAAAGCTACAGATACACAATATGTATTAAGAGTTGCCAGTTGGAGTATAGTATAAAAATTCAAGTTTTAAAAAGTACGTTATCTTCACACAACGACTAGTCAAATTACTATTTATTTAAACATTTAAAATTGATATCACAATACTGTCACGTGTATGGATTTATATACATAAATCCATACACGTGACAATCGTCTTTGATGTTAACCGAAATGCTGCCAAATGCAAGGGTTGCTAAAAATACTAATCGCACTGCAATCATCTCTTCAACCCGTCAAATCTGTAGTCACTTTTATACGAGTCAGGAGACAACCCTAAACCTGTCTTCCGACTGACGTATGATGGTCGAGAACTCCTCACCCTGCACGCCTCGTATGCGTTATCTATACCCCTTTGTTAGTCGGTTGTATGGATAAATAGACTGGGCATATGTACGTGTATATAAAGAGTTGCTGCCGGCGTGTCAGTTAACAATAGATTTCTTAGAATTTTAATTAAATTCTTAGAAATTTACCTAGAAGTGTTAAAACAGAAAATAAAAGAAAAATACAAGCAACAGAAAATATAGGAAAATATAACAGGTATAGACTTTATTAGCAAAAATTACATATTAAAAAAGATAATTCGGATTATTCTTAATAATTTATTCTAAAATAGTTTACAATGATAATAAATTAAACGACACCAGTGTTGCCAGTAGTGGGCGGGGCGGGCTGCGGGAACATAAATGTTGAGGCGTTTTGGAAGATCTGCCTTTTCACGAAGTCTGTTGTCGCGGACTGCAGATTCTCTTTCGCGCCAAATTTGCACTTGACGTATCCGTACAAGTTGGCGCCTGTCAGTGTCAACGCTATTAGCACCAATAGCTGGAAAATACATTTTACATGTAATCAAATTTTAGTGTTTCTTTTTTTTCTTTTTTACCGTTCATTATACGAGTATATAAATATATAACGTGTCTTCTCCATTCTACGTGATATTGGCGAAATAAATAGTGCCCAAATGGCATTCGCACATAAATACATTGTATTATTAGTATCATACCATCGTGATTTTATTAAAATACATACATAGTAACAAAGCACTCACTAAGTATTAAGTTTGGGCCGATCCGGGACTCGAACTCAGGATCTGCGGTCATGCTCTAACCTCTAGACCACCGAGACAGTACTAATATCAACAATAATATTTAAATAAAAACGGACATTGCATTTACCATAACCCACAAACTAAGCCAGGAACCATATAATATTAGCTTAATTAAAAAAAAATGTATAGTTACACACCATCCACTTAAATTTAAGCCCAAAAAGACAGATAACGAAGAATCCGGACCAAATGAGAGGGCACAGTATCAGCCCCATCCAGAAAAGCCGGCTTTCATTGCTATTTACTCGGTTCTGAAAATAATATACATCAATTATGTATTTATAATTATAATAGTTTTCATTCCTCAGAAACACATTAAAAAATGGTCAAGTGCGAGTTGAATACGTGAAGATTCTTAATAAGTCTTGACAATTTCATTCTGTGAACTATGACAAAAAAAAATTAAAAAATAAAAGAATAATCAGCCATTGGGTATTAGGTTTGAAGTATGTATTCATAGACGGCGCACCACATAGTTAAAAACTGTTCAAGTGACTGCAATTTGTTTACCAAAATGCAGGATGAATATTAAACATTTCACATATTTTTGTATACACTTTGATACTTATTTCTAAAATGGATTAATACGCGGATCAACGCCATCTATTGTCTATTCAAGCAAAATTAACTAAATAAAAAGCCAAAATTAGTGCTGTCCAATATATTTTATATGGGATGAAGCAGCAACTGCATAGTAATATGTCAAATTTTTAAAGACATTGAGTGCAGTATTAAAAATAAGTCTTTGTTCATCTGTGACATATACCTGCCAAATAAATACAGTAAACAATCACTATTTTTTGAGTTAAAGTTAACTTAATCAACTTATAAAGTGGAGCCAAGCTGACTTAATACATAGTTCTAAAACTGGTGATGCATTCAAAATTTAAATACAATTTAAATCTTTTAGTTACAGCCTTTCTTTAAGAGATAGTATTATATGTTGATGATGTTTTAACTCTTAGATTGTATGATAACTATTAAAGAAACAGTTGCTTTTTTGTTCTATAATAGCGTATAATTGAAATAGTCGCTTACCTGTTTAGATTCAAAGACCCAGTGGGATTTGCCTTCATCATCGACATAGTTCCACCATCTCAGACCCACTAAGAGTCGTCCTGAAAGTGAAACATATAATTCATATAAAATTACATATCTAAGTTTTGTTCCTTCTTTTTTAATTCAGTGTAGATCATTTAAATGTGGTAGTGGAAAGATTTTAAATAAATTCTGATTATTGTATATGTTTTTTGTGGTTTAAAAACTACCACAAGTGGTTTAAAGAAACTGACAACTTCATAAAATAATAGCTTATTTATATTAATATTTAATTATTAACCATAAAAGTAAACATAGTAATTACATACATACCACTTATATTCTTAACCGTCCAGAAGTCAGCTGACAATAGCAATATCACTAATACGAAGCTTGCAATAAATGAGTCAGAGAACCATCCACATAAGATGTATACTACTATTGCTGCACTCCTGAAGACCAGGTGGAAAAATACTATGTAGGGGTGCCTAGAAAGATTGCCAAATTACATATTGATATGACGGCATAATATGTACAGACTAGCAATTATTATTTAAGTAAAATTTTGGAAAAAAAACAAGATTTTAAAAATGAATATTCATAGTTTAAAATAATATATAATGCAAAAGTAAATGAAATTATGGGATTTCAATTTTTTTTGTGCTGTTAGAAACACTTACAATGAATAAAATTTGCTGGTTGGTTAAAATTTACATGTATTCTAATAGAATTAAACAGGGAAATAAGTAATCTGAATAATTCCTTATTTTAAATGAAGTATGTGTACTATTATAGTATTATGTCATTTGTGATACTGATATGGAATCTGTGTAAAGAGAAAACAAAGTCATCATAAACACTATTTATTTTAATTTTTACAAGCTCTGGCTGCTTTAGCTTTTCTCTGATGTAGAATACAGATATGTATTTACATATACTTACATACAGCTCATTTTGTGTTAGTTCATATTAATAAATCATAAATTTTTTGGTACATATGATTTATATGCAGACAGTATGTTGATGGTACTGCCAGAAACTTTAGTAGGTAGGATTATGCAGTCTTTATTAATTTCTTGTGGTTTTTTTTTTGTTTTTAGGTGTAGGTATAACAATAAAATTCTTCTATTTAACCCTGTTAATCCAATATTATAGTAGAATAATTTAAAATGCCATGGCCCATCTCAAACATAACTCCCATGTTCAATGTGACATTGTTGAAATAATTTGTGCTCAAGTGGCAAGCATTAAAGCCATTAAAGAAAGAATTGAATTGAATTATGCAGTCTTATACAAATTATAACATACCTGTACTTATTAGATCCTATCACTTTAAACAATATACAAAATAAAAATTGTGTCAAAGTGGGTTATCAAAGTAGGCAATAATTTATTCAAATATTAGTTTCACTATATGTTTTTTCTTTAATATTAAGTTGTACACCATTAGTTTTATATAACTTACACAAATTGTTTATTTGCATTGTCCTCTTCTCCAAAGGCAATGGTATCGTCATCCAGGAGCGGCACCTGCGGCACACCTGGCTGTAATAGCGTATCAACAACTACGTCAGCTCAAGCCGTGCAAAGCGAGTTAAATCAAACTGAACAAAAAATAATTAGAAAACTGTGCAAAGAAAATTAGCTGGTATTTTTTTAAGGACATTAAGATGATGGTTATAGATGAAAGGAATTCTAATGTAATTTTAATCTAGATAATGTATTTTATGATTCAGAATATGTCTAACGTACTTACAGTGGCGGAGCTCATTTTGATTTAACACTTACAGAAGGCTAAATAAATTCAAAACTGATATTATATAGGAAGAACTTAACACTATACTTTATAATATTAATTCGTAAGTGTTAAAAGACTCAACAAAATATCTATCGTTTACAAATAAGTTATATTGTAGAAAAAATTCATAACGTCAAAATCATGTCGAGTCAATTGTCAATGTCATTGAGACATCGATGAAAATTGGAATCGTGTCAAGTTTATTAAAATACTATTTGTTTACATAATATTATGTAAGTCCCAAAATTATTCCTATTATCGATTCCATTATTCGCTAAAATATTTTAATTATATTTCAAAACTAGCCCCAAGAGTTGATTTATTGTAGTTTTAGTTAGTTGCTTTCAATAAAGCCGTGTTGGCACGCTCAAAGTCTGCTTTGACAAAGTTTAAGGTTAAAGTTTACTCATAAACCTGTTGACACGGTTAATGTCTACTTTGACAAAAAACTTTGAAACGAAGTTCTCTTTGATAAAGTCCATTTTTATTACACGCCGATGTCAAAGTGCGCTTTGATTGCACGTTTGCACGATCAAAGTAGTCATCAAAACTACTTTGTCAAAGCAAGCTTTGAGAAAAGTAGAACATGGTCAAAGTCTACTCAAAGAGCGCTTTGATTGCTCGTTTACATGATCAAAGTTGCTTTAAAGTAGTCATCAAAGCTATTTTGTCAAAGTATACTTTGATCGTGTCAACGCGGCTTTAATTTTTATTAATTTTTTTAAATTTATTAATCATTGTTACTAAACCATTGTAAAAATACTATACGTGGAACAATATAATTCAACTAATAAACTCCATATATTCAATGAAAAAGTGGTATATTTTGATTTAACTAATTTTATTAGTTGAAAATCTTTTTCAACCTTAAGGCCAATGGTAATATATGTAAAAAGAAAGTTTTAAGGGTTAGGTTCATATATATACATATATTCTGTGTTATATTTATAGCAAATAACACATATGAATAATAATTGGCTCATACTTTTAATAAAAGTAATGAAAGTATTGCGCAGTATTTGACTTTTAAAATCGATAACTCATGTCGGAAATCGATTCACTTATAAAATAATAATAATCGTAACTTATGGTCCATTACGGTCTATTAATATCATACAAAAATATTTTTAATTTGTAAGCTACAATTAATTATTTGTCATTTGTGAAGTATTTAAATGATATTATGAAAGAAAAACAATATTATAACAGTATGTATTAAGTTCTTAAGTTGCAACATGATTATTAAGTTTAAAGGATTTCACATTTATTTTTAGTTATATTTATAAAATTATTATGATAAGTTATTTTTATAGTTGTTATACTATGATCTACTTTATTAATTTTTGAACTTTCATGATTACTGACAATGTTTTTATCATGTAATACTTACAATGTTTTAACTTACTTTAATGAGTTCGGATTAGAGTAAATTATTGTCCTGTTTTATATGACAAGACATGCTCTAATATAAATATTTTTGAGTATAAATTTATGAGAAAGATTAAGAAATGTATATGTTGCTGTATATAAAATCGATTTCAAGTGGAATCGATATTTCACTACAGATGAGAACTGTCAAAATTTTGCAGGAAGGCACATGCAACGCTGTTTACAAGTAGGTGCTCGCGACGTTTTTCTGTTTGTCGTCCAGCGTTTGTTTTTCTTGTAAACGTTTTGTGTTTAATACGATGTCTTCCTGTGCCGCGGGTGTCGTATTGAGCGAGTGTTCGTGATCTTGGAGTTCGGTTGTGACAGGTGCGATTTGCGTAACGTTGTCGCGATGGGCGCTAAGGCTAGCACGGCGAACGGAGGACAGAGTCCGAGGGCTAGGACATTCTCGACCAGCTCGAGCTCTGACGTAGTGTCCGGAGGTGCAGGCTTTAGCTTACTTCGGGCCATACCGGGTATACAAGTATCGAACGACAGACAACGCGCGAGATCTCTTTCATCAGTGCCGGATCTGCACGCTTCACACGAAGCTATTGCTATTCCTCCTAATTCTCAGAGTTACGAAGCTTCTGCAGCAGCTAGTCCAGACACTGATTCGAGCTCTAATGAGGAGGCGGGTCCAGTAGCTGGTACTTCCTTGGCCTTAGGCAGAGTATACGCAGCACACTCCTTGCCTTCACATATCTGGTCCATAAACGGTATGTGCTATTTTGTTTTATCTACGATTATTGATATTAGTAAGATTTTGTATATTTAAGATAACAATGATTCAACATATTTACATAACATGCCATTATATATGATGTAAATGTTTGAGATATTATGAAATTTATTACCATTATGTTGTCAAAACAAAGAAATTAGAATTACTGATATATCAATATAATATTCTACTTTAGAGAAGCAAAAATCTTTTAATTCAATAACATTGACTGGCCAAGGACGATCTAGTTGGATACTTTTTAGTCAATATTTTCGTGGGTTATTCTATTTTATACAACAAAATCTTAAGGTGTTAGGCATTAATTTCTAATAAGATTCCTCTAGGATATTAAAATGATAATTATTAAACACATTTTTGAATGTGGTCATAAAAATACTATTTCAAGTCATTTAAAGAATCTTAAATAAAAAAAGTTGGCCTTTATGGGACACCTGGTAGATGTGAAACATCTATGTTAATATTAGAATTCATAATTAATAAAAACCTATAACAAAATATGGAGTAAAATTAAAAGAAAAATATAGTTTTGTTATTAAAATCAATTTATTTTTCTAATTATTTTAATTAGGTATAATAATAATTACAGAGTCTATATTTATAAATAGAATAGAAAATATGTATTTTTTAATAGAGACTGTTGTACCATGGAGCATGTATAGTATACTCGAGAGTGGTGGGTGGCTTAGAAGGGGGGCATAATGGCATGACAGTGTCACGCCGCCGTTGCCATCATACCACAAATTGGTTTTACTGCCAAGGCACTCCAATAGATCTTTCGCATATTTTTTTTTCTGATATTCATTATTTTTTAATTCAAAATGCCAACTGTAAATGACAGAAATAAGCTGTGATATTAAAATAAAAACTTTGTTGTACATAAATGTATCCTAGAAGTCACTAATGACTAAAGAAACAAATTGAATTGAATTTTATTTAAATGTAAAGTTTTTGTATGTGTTATAATTTACAGTTTTATAAATTACTTATTTAAGCCAAGCAAGGACCGAGTCAAGATAAAACTAATAGGGTATGATAAGGTGGTATATTTAGGCAAAGTCTACATAAAACACTTGTATTACTAAATATAGATGTTATCTGTTATTATAAAAACAATGTTATCAGAATTTATGCTTTGAAGATGGGATATTTAATTAAATTTTGGAGTATGTAAAAACAAATACACTTATTAATGTTTATCTATACAGATAAAAAATTGCAATGTCTGTTTGTAACGTAAAAATAACAGCTTTTTACTAAATGCATATTATGAAATTATATAATTGATGAAGAAAAACACAATTTTTAAAATGTTAGTCTGTTTGTTCCTGCTATTCTCTGAAACGACTGGACTGATTTTCACTGGCAGATAGCTGATGTTATAAGAAGTAAAGTAGGCTACTTTTATTTTAGAAAAAGTATTAGGGTTCCACTCAAAAAATTAAAATGTACCTAGTGACACACCCGAGTGATGGGAGAATCTAAGTTGCTAGTAAGTTTTATAATAGGTGAACTTTCTATATTTTTAGAATCTCCATGGTTTTCTCTGCAACAAATGCAGCGTGAAGATATATTATTTATGTCAATGTATGTCAGAAGTAATTTGATTCATAAATTAATATTTTTTAACTTACAAACATTTCTCAAGTCTTCTTCATTTTATGTGCTATTAGTGAAGTAATTTGTTCTAAACTAGCATGATTTAAAGTTCAAAGTCATTAACAAGATTTTTTGTAAACCATTCTGTTTGAGTTATTGTAATATTGTACTAAGTTTAAAATTAATGTATGCACATAAAAATATGGTGCCTCTAACATTTGTTTTACTGAAATTACGTGCCTATTGAAGCCTTACAATTTTGTACTATTTATAGTATGTGTTGTATTAAAACTTAAGACGCAACATAGTCTTGTAAAACAAATCAATTGACTGTTAAGTAGCAGGCTTTTGTCTAATAAGATTATGACATAATTTGCTTTGTGAAATAAGTATCATGTTTATATACTTTTGCTTGGTTTGAAAGTGCAATGGGAATATCAGTTTCACTTTGAGCTGTCAACATTGGTTTGATGTATGGCTCTATTTTGAATATATCATGTATCCAGTTTTGTGATTGTCATATATCACCTTTATTCTTACCATTTTTATTTTCTTTTAGTGTATATAAAATGAATATCTATACTAGTATTATAAAGAGAGATTTTTTGTTTGCTTGTTTGTACTGAATAGGCCACCGAAACTACTGAACCGCTTTAGATAAAATTTGGTAAGAAGATAGTTTGAGACCCTGGGAAGGAATAGGATAGTTTTATTCCGGAAATCATCCCTTAAGGAGGTGAAAATGGGCATGAAAGTTTGTATAGGGAATCAACCTAGACACAAACCCAAGCGAAGCGAGGGTGAGTCGCTAGTTAATGTATATTTTTTTTATAAAATAAGTACGTCTATGCTATAGAAATGGCCAGTTGAATTTTTTTCTGGTTCCTGTTTTAACCACTTGGTGTACATAATACAGATTTTATAATATTATGTTTCATGTGGCCTTAACATTTGGATAAACATTATGGGCTAACACACGATTTGCTTATGATTCCGACCGAGACATTGAAAAACTATGGAGACAAATATTATTTTTTTCTGCAGTAGAAGGAGATGTTATGAAATGATTACACCACGTTTGTCCCAGTCGGCGATTTGCCAATAGCAATATTGATTAAATCGCGCTTTTCCACATATACGTGAGTATTATGGAATAAGGCAGAACAGACGAATTAAATGCGAATGTCGTTTCCGCGTTTTGGTTTTGGTACGAAATATGCTTTAAAAATCGTATTTTTAAAGGTTATTCTCTCATTCTTTTCGTCTCAATTCATATTATAAAAAAGATTGCCGCCCTATCAGTTTGTGCGCTTGTAAGTCGAGAATGATTATATATAAAACTAATATGAAAATTTAAATAACAAAGTTTCATCGAAATCAGTCTAGTAACTTTTACGTTACGCTGGAAGATTAGCACAGGCTAAAATACGAAAATTCAAAACTATAAAAGTGAATATATTTTGAAGGATATGCTTTTCCGATTTTCTAAAATAAAATTTTTTTCAGCACCATTAAAATAATATTATATAACATACAATATAACGTCATACATAATTCATAATAACTTTTATTGCATATAGAGAAACGTAAACAATGACGTTCGTTAAGAGAATTAGTGGGTATTCTAATTTGATTAAGATATTGCACTACATGTTGTTGTTGTCTGTATGCGACATTTTCTGAGTGGTTTAACTAACTTCAATAAAGGGTAGTTTTTAATCCACTGTCTGTAATCAAACAATATATTATATACTATATCTATCATTGTACATCTACACTAGTTTACAGTTCTACACAAATATTATTCCCTCCACGTCCGCGGACACGGTATAGTTAGCAATAGATTTTTTAGAAATTTAATTAATTTCTTAGATATTTAAGTACCTGGAGGTTTTAAAAAGAGGAAAGATTTGTATTTCTGTATGTTTGTAACGAATCTGATGTATCTTTGAACTATATAATTGTAAAGTTTCATAAAAATCCATTCAATAGTTTTTGCGTGAAAGAGTAACAAACATCAATACATCTATAGGTACATCCATACATCTTCACAAACTTTCGCATTTATAATATTAGTAGTATAGATTATGTAAATATTAAAAAAAAATTTCACCGTCTTGTCGTATCGTCTGTCGCAGTAGATATCTTGACTTCACTTTCCGAGTTGAAATTCAGTATTGATATATTAATTTTCAATTTAAATGCTTAGGAAAAGGGCTTATATAATTCCTACCATACATTATATCTCAAAAGAGACGAAAATTAGACAACGTATCTGTTAGAACTAGAGACGGTACATCTTGCTTTATGTTGACACATAGAGTGACTCTTTCAAGTGTTGATTTGTAGAATTCCATATATAATAGAACGTTATACTTTCTTAGACTTTGTACAGTTGAGCCCGTTTTTGTGTCTAAATTTTAATTAAAATTAATTTCCACCCTATAAAGTGGGAGATGATTCTTATTTTTTTAATGATTCTTATTTATTATTATATCATCTTCCACACTATAGGGTAGGACATGATTCTTAAAGCCCATGCTAAGAAAGGCTTATAGAGAATACGTATACATAAATAACATACGTAAGCGGAGCCGCAGACGAACGATAGTAATACATAATAAAAATTGATAACCGCCATCATGGCTAGGGCTCTGTGCCTGCCTGGCACTGCGTTCTACTTATGAGGATGTTGTTTGATGCACGCATGGGTGCCATTATTTGTATTTGTAAATTGTAATCATATTTATATTTGTTTATGTTAAAATAATAAGATTCAGCATTACGCTAATATTTCTCACAAAAATATAAAATGAAAATCTATACATATACTAAATTTCTGAGTCGAATCTGTACATTAAATATTTTTTGGATAATCTTATTAGAATAGTCATTATTATTGATACAGAGGCCGAATCTACAGTTTTTAGAATTTTTCTCTGTCTGTCTGTCTGTCAGTCTGTCTGTTACCGCATCACGAGAAAACCACTGGACAGATTTTGATGAAATTTAGTATGATGTTCTCCTAGCCGATTCCGGCTACGGCGGCCAATCTCATTGAGATTAGCCACTGCGCAGGAGATATTATAGTGCACAAGTGTATGCGCAGACACAAGTGCACTCTCTATTCCTATCACTCATACTCCGGTGGGACGACCACTCGACACGACCGATGAGAGTTAAGGCGCAGGACCGACGGCTTTACGTGCTCTCCGAGGCACGGGGGTGAAACACCGCCAACTTCCCAACTCCGGGCTGTTACTGAGACTTACTTTACAGAAAGACTCAATAACTAAACTTAGCCCGACCCGGGACTCGAACCCAGGACCTCCGGGTGTGCAGCCGTACATGCTAGCCACGACACCACTGAGGCAGTCAATTTTAAGTTTAGTATAAAGATAACTGGTTATCCGGGTCAACATATAGGATACTTTTTATCGCGGAAAAATGTCTCATTTCTGAGAAAAAATACAAAAACTGCAATGTAAGAGTGTAGTATACTAATATGTAAAACTTCACAAATTGATTATTGGTCAGCGGGCAATGCTAGTATTATATAAGTTTATTCGAAATAGCTCATCCTAATTGACCCGGATAACCAGCTACCATCATACCAAATTTCATCAAAATCCCTCCTGTGGTTTTTCCGTGATGCGGTAACAGACAGACAGACAGACAAAAATTCTAAAAACTGTAGATTCGGCCTCTGTATCGATAATAATGTCTATTTCAATAAGATTTTCCAAAAAAATATTTAATGTACAGATTCGGCTTAGTTACAATTTTATTATATGTATAGATATGTACATGGAGACAAGGGGGGAAATTAGCTTTATATGTATAGCAGTATGGTAATTTAATATGTCAGTGTATAGTAAGCGTTGTAGGGCAGTAATTCCATCAGTGTCTACCCCACGTCTGTCCTGTAATTTATGATCAACCCAAAATGTCAATATATCTTGCACTAATACATTAATAGGCCGTTCTGGAAAAAACGTTCAAGAAAAATTGTTATTACATAGAGTGCAAGTCTTGTATACTTTATTTTTAGGTTAAAGCTAAATCGTACATGCTACACTATACATGTAAAAACTTTTACCTATAACTTTCTAAAAAAGGTGTATATTATTATGATGCACCACGTGAAAAGAACTGCGGGTGATAAATTATATATGTAGTATCTGATACGACTCAAAATTTATCCGTTAAAGTTGTAACTAAGGCTAATAAATTCTTGAATATGAAAGCTCGCCCAATATAAGCTATTAACAACACAGAGCACAGGATATACCATAACTCTCAGTAAATTTCAATTTTATCACTGTTCAGTTTGTGCGTCAATCCGTCTAGCTCATAATAAATCTGTTTTCCGGGTTACACTGCGCCTACACAGTGTTCCGCGAAAGCTCAGTCGTTCGCGAGACACTGTTGAGATAGGACGTGTAAATCGCACAGTAGCCATGTATCGTCGTCGTTACCGCACCACCCTCGGCCTCGGCTTGGGATCCTCCTTCTCTTCAACGTTCTCCACCACCCTCTCGTTCTCCTCCCGTACATCCACAATAGACACGGTCAGGTCGGATGCGCGTGCGACTGCAGCTAAGCTCAAAACGAAGTATGAAAACGCCGGCACTGCACAAGGTCTGTTTGTGTGGTGTGTCAACGACCTAATACTAGATCACTCATAATTAAATAACATATCATTCATTGCAATAATAAAAGTGCAATTTTTAATGAAGTATTAACATATTTTGTGAATTTACCAATTTTAATTAAATAATTTATATTGCTTATCATTAATTTTCACCTAAAAATGCATATTATAAAGATTTTATTATGAAATGAATTCAAGAATCGCAACAATTATAAAAATAACGCAATTTCTTAATTAAAAGCTTATTTGAGTAAGTTGTTAAAATGTCTACGGTGCTGTTTTGTAAATAAAGATATAAAAATTAACACTTGAAAGTTGGTTGGTTGACTTCACTTAGCCTCTAAGTGCGTCCAGGGAATAGAATTTACAAACAAACTGAAGTTTTAATACAATTAAGACCACTGCTGCGATGACCAATTAGCTAATTTACATTATCTTAATTTTTTATTAGTTAACAAAGTAATTTCTTTTAGTGTTCTGTTATATGTGTAGGATTTTTATTTTTTTGAGTATTTTTATTCATATGAGCTTTTTATTACGCTATGGCTTGATAGCCATTATGTAATAAGTAGCTTTTTAAGTGGCCCACCCGCAAGCTTTATAGTAAAGTACTTTTAGAGACGTTTACACAAAATATATTTATATACATACATACATGAAGTAAACTAGCGGCTCACCCTCGCTTCGCTCGGTTTCGCCTTTAGATAAATAAAAACAAACTATCCCATGGGAACCGTACATTTTTACGCGATAAAAAGCCCATTTGACCTTTGAGACGTTTAAAACCTTAGTCTCTTCCGTGACCACGATTGCTGTAAAGTATTCGAAACGTCAGGAACCAAAAATCAAAATAAATCTTCGCAAAATCAAAAAAGATAGTTTTATTTATTTAATAGAACGATCTAGTGATGGAATTAGTTTTTGTTTAGATTATAATGTGTACTACATACGTTTCACGTAGAATGGTCGTAAATCTCAAAATTAGAGTAAAAGTAAGATGTTATTTTTCTTATTCAAATAGTGTTTACACACATGGGTAACATGCATATACCTTTGGTTTTTGTCTCATATGTATAATTATGGAATATATAAATATTTATATAATATATAATGTATATATAACTTGTGAACTAAAACTTAGATAAACACGTAGATATCTTTACTCGTACATATAGGACCTAGTGTCAACGTAGAACCTCGAATTATTCTCGCTGTCCACTTCACACGAAATACCCCTTATCTATAGGTACATATAATACCATTCTAAGTGAGTCGGATTTGTACATCAAATATTTTTTGGAAAATCTTATTGAAATAGTCATTATTATCGATATAGAGACTGAATCTACAGTTTTTATAACTTTTGTCTGTTTGTCTGGGAACACATCATGAGAAAACACTGAACAGATTTTGATGAAATTTGGTATGATGATAGCTGGGTATCCAAGTCAACATATAGGACACCTTTTATTGTGGGAAAATATCTCATCTCTGACAAATCTATACTAACCGTTAAAACGTAACTATTAACGACTAACTAGTATTTAATGAAAAAAAAAATATTTTAAAACGGTATAAAAATGAAAATTGCTAACAATATCTCAAGTTTTAGTCTGAAATTGCCAGAAAATATATCTGTGTGTACTTTGTAGTCGTCTCGTCTATTCAACTACGGACTGCGGCGCTTTGAGGCTTTATGCAGCGAACAATAAGTGACCTACTAAGGCTTTAGCGCAAGGAGCAACAAAGCAGGATACGAAGGTCGCGTTTAAATTACATGGCATTTTAATTACCGAAGAATACAAAATGTTCATTGTTGAAGGAGATTTGTGAGATTAGTTTATAAAGAATCATTTTTTTTAGTTTAATTATTTATTTTTTACTTATTATTATTATAAACTATTATGTTAATTTTGTATATTTGTGGGTAGTGTACGGTATAATTTTTTTTTCACTAACACAAAGATATAAGAGAGAGATAGTACCTGAGTATAATTGTAATATATACTATTTCTTTACCGATTTATATAGTAGAATTACTTAATAAAGGTAAGTTTCATATAAACTTTCATCCCTTATTTTACCCCCTTATGGGAAGAATTTCGAAAAATGTTAAAACATGTATTTATTTAATTGTATTGAAGAGTATTAATATTAAGTTTCAAGTAATCCTGATCATAAATATTTTTTGGGTTGGATTATAACGTGATTTCTTGTAGGAATGAGATAATCTCCCGCGGTAAAAAATAGCCTATGTCCCTCTCCAGCCCTCCAACTATCTCCACACAAAAAAAGTCAATCCGGCACTCTGTTTCGACGTGAAAGAAGTACAAATAAACAAACACACTTTAACATTTATAATATTAGTACTAGGATAGTAGGGAAACTGAATCAGACAACTGGTTCTGATTTGAGAATAAAATTAAACTTTTTTTACTTAATATGTATAAATAACAAAAAGTGTACCAAAATAAAGTCGTAAGCAGAAAGTCAAAATGTTCGTTATAATGTGATATGTAGGTACTGTCTGTCCTTACAATACTAAAATACTCTTGCTTTTAAACTTCGCTAGAAGCTCACTCCTGAGCGAACTAAAATTTACATTGTGTTTGATTCGATCGAATTAAATACATCCGGCATAGTAGGCAGAACCAGTTAGATATTTCACTATCTATATCCTCACATACTACTAAAGGCCACATACGTATGTTTGTCCATGTGTCTATCGATTATATAAAAATCATTAAAAGAAATTATATCTTCAGATAGTCGTTCCCTAATTTATTCAGTATTAAAAATATTTATATTTATTTATTTTTAAAAATTAATAAATATGTTGGTTCATTAACATTTAACATACATCACCATCTAGTTCCATGGTAAGCTACGAGGCTTGTGAATTACACATATATAACTTTAAATACATACATATTATAAATATAAACACCCATGACTGGAGTATAAACATTCGTGCTCATCACACAAAAGAATGCCCCCAGCGAGACTCGAACCCGCGATCGTTGGCACAACAAGTCGAATCACTACAAAATCAGCGAAACGTGTCGTCAAATCATACATATTAAGTATCCGTTATTTTTTTTAATTTTTATCTAAATTACTACAAGAGATGTTGGGGGTTAAATAGAACATTTATATAGAGTTCTATGGTTCAGTCTAACAACATTATTGTATTTGCATTTCCTTTGATTTCTGTGCTGTCAGTTGCCAGTTACGGCGATGGTTTGCCAAAGTTGTTAGCTAGCGACTTCGATGTTACAACGTTACTACCGCTTTATGTAAATTAATGAAACTAGAATATAGAACAAGCTAATATTTAATTTAATTAAATAATATATACATAAAATATTCAATTAACTTTGTCAGTCTTTTGCATAATTTACATATATTTCTTAGAATGTTTGGGTCTTTATATATCTATCTTTTGCTGTGTGCTTTACATAAAGATCTATCTCGGTAATTATATAATACTAGCAGCTCATTTTACCTCTAGAAAAATAAAAATAAATTATCCCACGGGAACCGTACATTTTTCTAGGATTAAGATAGATAAGATCCTCCCAGCCGTTCTGGCATAATTGAGTAACAAACATTCATCTAAATCTTCACATTTATAATATTAGAAAGATAATAATAACCAAATGGTGTTACTATAACAATATTGTTTTTATTTACGTACTTTAAGTCATTTAATTTTTTTTTATTTGTATATTTTATTGCATAAACACTTTATGTAATATTTATGGATTTTCAAGCATTATAGACCTGTTTCGATGACCATTATCACCATGTTTTCTGTAAGGAATCGGAAATGTCGGGACCATAAAAGTAATATAAAACACCAAAAAAAAAAACCCAAAAACGCATAAACCTTTGGGCTTCGCCGCAATCGAGTAAATAGAGTGGTATTTAAAATATCCACGTATATTTACGTAAATCTAAGAAAGTGTTATGTATACCAAATTGTGCTATTATAACAATTCTCATTTCGTTAACTTTATGATTCGTTTTAAAATAATGTATACATATAATAAAATTGTGAATAAACCCAATCTGTACATTAAATATTTTTTTTTATAAAATCTTATTGAAATAAACATTATTATCAATACAGAGGCCCAATTTATAGTTTTTAGAATTTTTGTCTGTCTGTCTGTTACCGCATCACAGAAAAACCACTGTAGGGATTTTGATAGTATTGGTATGGTCATAGCTGGTTATCCGGGTCAACATATAGGATACTTTTTACCGCGGGAAAATGTCTAATTTCTGAGAAAAATATAAAAACTGCAATGTAAGAGTATACTAATATAAAACCTAAGAATTTGGTTTTTGCTCATCTGAACGCGGGCGGAGCCGCGGGTAATGCTAGTGTATAATATAAGCCATATCGACAAAATACAATATGCCACTGCAGATATTACATCATAGTCACAGCGCTATTCGAATGTAGTTTAGTTCAACAACTCCAGAGCTTTTAACGCAAAAGCGTATAAAACATTTTAATTTATCTAAGAAATACTTTACCCTCAGCAAATATATAGCGGTGCAGCTTGAGAGCAATACTTACTTTACAGCGTTCTTCAAGCACGTTCGTTAACTGTGAAACCTTTAATTCAGTGACCCAGTTCTAACATTGTTTATTTGCCAGCTATAAATGCCAGTTGAACTAATGTAAGAGCTTAATATTAGTATTAAGAAGAATAGATTATTAACAAAGCTTATTGTTATTAATTATAAATATGTACATATAAAAATGTATGTTCGTTTTGTTTGTCCTTCTTAGTCACATCGTGACCTATGTACACAGTGCGCACGTTCGCATAGGCGTACTGTATTGACCGTAGAGTTATATACTTTTTTACCTGGTAGATCTAGTGCTTATGGAGTTCCATTGAAAATGAATAGAAGATTTTATAACAGTTTTCTTAAAAAATATTTTATACTAAACTAGCATTGCCTGCGGCTCCAACCGCGTTCAGATGACCAAAATCCAAATTCTTAGGTTTTACA